GCCAGGCAGTGTTTGAAAGAATACAGTTTCCGTGTAATGATTTTGGGGCATAACCTAGCCATGCGGGTGGCCGGGTGCCGGGGACACAGCCCTGCCGCCGCTCCTATTTCAACAGGAGATGAGCCTTAGAATGGCTCCTTTAGTACATCCCTTTCTTCCACTCTGAGATGCTGATCTTTACACACACACACACACACACACACACACACCACATGCACTCTCTCACACATGCACATGCAAATACACAGGCTCACGATGTTGTTTTTAGGACCTCAGAGACTTTAGAAATGCCAGCATGCAGGGAACCAGCTCCTGTTCTCAGCTTTCAGTGTGTGGCTCCAGTCATCTCCTGTCCAAAGGGCCTGACAGGGCTGCTTCTCCTCCAGGGAAGTACCAGTTAACACACTGTTAACTGTGCCCAAGCCTCCACTTGTGCCTTACCTGACTCCCTCAGGTCCCCACACACACGGAAGCTGAGTTGAGTCCCCTGCCTTTTTTTTTTTATCCCTTGCAATGGGGTTAGCACAGAACCCACACTTTGGTTCACATACAGCGCTTTCCCTAGTGCCCAGCTTTCCCCGACAGAGGGGTTCATCTAGAGAGACCATAGCACTAAGAAGGCCGAGGTTATGAACTTAATCTCCATATGGTCCTGCCTGCATTGTGCTCCTACGTGCAGCCTCTCAGCTGTTTCGCAAATGGCTTTCATCGATCACAGGGAACACCAGATGAAAGGACAGAGATGGCTCAGCACAAACCATGCACCTTTTGGGTTTCTCGTGACTGTTTAAGAATCCGGTGTACAGATGGTGCGGCTCATTGCCCCTTTTGTGTACCTCAGCTGGGAGAGCATGTAGGCTCTCTCCCCTGCAGACACCTTTCTCGTGATTCGTCACAAATGCTCGACGTTCTCCTGCTTTTTCAGCATCTCTTTCCTGGTCCAGCTCTTCCACAGATCCTTTCCGGACACTCTGCCTATCGCTGCACTCAGTCTGGCTCACAAAGAACTTATCTTCCATGCTCTGACGTACTCTGTTCACACCACAGCTTGTGGTTCATGGACTTGTGCTTTACTACATCTCAAAGAGATGAGGACAAGATAGCCCCCCTCTTTTGTTCGATGCTGTGGCCAGTATCAGTCTAACTGTACTGTGACTATCGTATTCAGTAGGATGCACTTAAATGTTTTCAGTGAGTTCCAAGTGACCTTGACAAATTTCAACAAAATTGTGTTGAATCCCTTCATTAATTCAAGGGCAGACTCTAGACCTTTATTATAATCTTCAAAATTCTTACCAGTTTAAACACTCAAATTAGTATGTGATTGTACTTTTTATAGGAAGGTCCACTGCCTGTGAATTTTCCCCAGTTTATGTAATCATAAGAGTAATACATCTAACCACAAAACCTCTAGTTAATAAGGTTATAGTAGCTCCTGTGACTGCTGCCTCTCCTTCTTTCCTTTCTTTCTTTTTTCCTCCTCCTCCTCCTCCTCCTCCTCCTCCTCCTCCTCCTCCTCCTCCTCCTCCTTCTCCTCCTTCTTTTGTGACAGGATTTCTCTGTCACTTTGGAGAACATCTTGGAACTCACTCTGTAGACAAGACTGGCCTCAAACTCACAGATATTCACCTGTCTCTGTCTCCCAAGTACTGGGATTAAAGGCAAGCACCACTACCATCCGGCTCTTTCCTTTTCTCAAGGGTCTCACAATGTCGCCTTAGCTGACTTGGAACTTGCTAATGTAGACCAAGCTGGCCTCAAACCACAGAAATCCTCCTGCCTCTGTCACCTGAGTTCTGGTATTAATAGCACCACACCTGGCATTATTTTTATTTTTAAATTTTATGTGTGTGGGCATTCTGCCTGCACGTATGTCTGTGTAGCCCATGTATGCCTGGAGCCCATGTAGGACATAAGAGGGCATTGGATCCACTGAAACTGAAGTTACTAATGGTTGTGAGCTGCCATGTGGGTGCTGAGATTTGAATCCAGTTCTCGGGAATAGCAGCCAGTGCTAAATATAGCCAAGGAGAGCTGCATATAGCCAAGGAGAGCTGCATATAGCCAAGGAGAGCTGCATATAGCCAAGGAGAGCTGCATATAGGGAGTGGAACCAGCTCAGGAGAGAAGCTGTGTGTATAGCAAGCAATATATAAACAACTAGAAAGACTGAACATCAAGAAAACAACCCAATTAAAAGTGGGGACTAAGCATGAATTTCTCCAACGGTGAAACACAATGGCCGAGAAACACTTAAAGAAACACTCCTCCATTGTCGGTGGGACTGTAACTGTATAGTCACCATGGAAATCAGTGTGACAATTCCTTAAGGATCTAGTGTTAAAGGAGACTGTGCTTTCATTCCCTGGCTGCCCAGACTCGAATAATCGCACAGAAACTCTATTATTTACAACACTGTTTGGCCAAAGGCTTAGGCATATTTCTTGCTAGTTCTTAAATCTTAAATTAACCCATTTCTATTATTTTATATTTTATCAGGAGGCTTGTGGTTTGTTACCTCACATCTTGCTTCTTGGACAGCTACATGGCATCTGTCTAACTCTGCCTTCTTTCTCCCTGCATTCAATCTAGCTATATTCTACCCTACCATAGGCCAAAACAGCTTCTTCATTACCCAATGGTAATAAAACACATTCACAGCATACAAAGGGGAACCCCATATCAACCTAGGGATAGATCTACCTCAAGCTCCCTCTGTGCCAATCTTGGGCGTACACCCAAAGGCCCCTGAACCTTACCACAGAGGTGCTCACCTAATTAACCTGCCCAATCAAAATTAAACACTTCATCCTAACACGGGGTTTTCCTTTGCACCGTTAAACTGCCCTTTGCCTATGGGCCATGTTGGTCTTCTCTCTATCCAGAGGCACTACTTTGTCCCCCTGGGACAAATGTTCCTTCCCCTTCTCCCTCCTCTATCTCTTGTCTTTGTCTCCAAATTCCTGCCCTCTGTCCTTTTGGGGTAAATAAATCTCCTCTGTGCTGAGAACTCGGTCCTTTGAACAGTATTCTATAATAAGTGTGTGGGCACCATTGTACTACACAGATCCGGATTTCTGTTTAGCAATTAGCGGTCAATGGCCTTGGAGGGGGCTTTAACCCTTGCTCACCCGTGCCATGGGGACAACAGCAGTACCTGTGTTACCGTTCTGGGATGTTGTTGGTTACTTTGCATGAGCAGCAGTTACTGGCACACAGTAAGTACTCTGTCAGTAAGTACAATACTGCCTTTACTATGCTAGGACACAGAACATGGCTGTGAACCCCTCTGAAAACATTCCAGTGCAAGTTGCTCAGGTGATTAGAACTGACCCTAACCATTCAGTGTTTGCAACGCTGGCTGCATTTTCCTTACCCTGAGCTTAGCTGCGAAAACCATTTCTAACCTTTATTTTTATTTTATGTGTGTGGGTGTTCTGCCTGCAGATATGCCATGCATATTCAGTGCCCATGGAGACCAGATGGGGGCATCAGATCCCCTAGGGTCAGAGTTATGGATGGTTGTGAGCTGCCATGTGGGTGCTGGGAACCGAAGCCCAGTCCTCTGCAGGGACAGCCAGTGCTCTTAGGCACCGAGTCCCTCTGCAGCCCCAGGTTAGCTATTTTTCACTGTAATTCTGATAAAGGAAAGTTGTATTTAAAGTCATTCTTGGAAAGAAATCATTTCTGGTTAATCTTGGTGTGTGGCTTTTTTAAAAAGTTATTTACAAGTTTTTTTTTAAATAATAAAGTTTATAAAATTAGAAAATAGTCCCTTCAAATTGTTAATCCGGTTCTTTCCCACAGACATTCTTCTGTGAGCTGTGGTAGATGCCGTGTGGTGCACACACATCATCAGTAAGAGGGTCATATGCTCTTAACGCAGCAGCAAAAATGAAAAAAACAAAAGCCTGTGATTACTTAGAGCAGAGGGCATCCTGTGGATGAGTATGGAGTACTTTCCTAGAGATGGGATTTGAAAGCTTCCAGCTTGCACTAGACGTATACTACTATTTTCATATAGTGGAAATAACACGCGCCAGTTTGGACACACGGGGGAGGGTGTGTGTGTGTGTGACAAGGCAAGCTCTGGTGACTGAGGTCCAATGTGACGAGAGAGATGAGAGAGATGGCTGGGCACACAACTCCCCATCAGAGTGTGTTGACTGAGTTTTCTGTCCCAAAGAAATCACACAGAAGTCTACATTAACTATAAACTGATTGGCCCATTAGCTCAGGCTTCTTATTAACTCTTATAGTTTATATTATCCCATTCTTGTCTATGTTAGCCACGTGGCTCAGTACCTTATTTAGTGAGGCAGTCACATCTTACTTCTGTGACTGGGTCATGACTGCAGACTAGGATTCTTCCCAGAATTCTCCTGTTCCCAGAATTGACCTGCCTCTACTTCCCGTCTGGTTGTCCCACCTATACTTCCTGCCTGGCCACTGGCCAATCAGCATTTATTTAAAATATAACTGACAGAATACAGACCATTGTCCCACACCAAGAGCATGTGGTTAGCTAGCACAAAACACTGGGGAAAAGGTAGAAAAACAGTGAAAGATATGACCAGAAAGCTAGGCTGGGGTATGTAGAGGAAGACAGTGCACAGAAGTGGAAGAAAATGGGTTATTAGTGGGCTGTTCCAGCAGTTACTGGTGATGGTAGAATCAGTCATCCAGACGCTGCTCTTAGAGTTCATCCAGTCTTTAATGTATAAATTTATATATTTCATTTATAGAGAATCTTCAATAATAAGACATATATATATATACATATAAAACAAATAACTCAAATTTGAACACATACATTAGACAGCTTCATGGTTTTTTTTTTTTTTTTTTTTTGAGACAGGGACTCCTGCAGCTCAGGCTGGCCTCCAGCTCTACATGTAGTTGAAGGTAACTTTTAATGTCCAGTCTCCTGCCTCTGTCTCCCAAGAGCTGGAATTACAGGTGTTCACCACCGTGCTAAGTTATAACCCCTTTGGCCTTTTCTTCTTTCTTGACAGTACTGAGGGTTTAGCCCAGGGCCTTGGGCATGTGAGGCAAACGCCCTACCACAGAGCGGATTCCCCAGCACGGTCACACCTTCTCAGTGTCCGAAGCCCCCAGCCCGGGGAGGTCGGCAGGCAACCTCAGCAGTTCTTCAGCTTCTTCCTGCAAAGTCTGTGCCTTCTCGTGCAGCAGCATCTGCAGGAAACACCCAGTAGTGAGGCCAAATGTACTTGGCTAGAGAGTTGCCAACACTGTATGTCTGCTAAAAACCCGAGCTTGACACATCAATATCCAACATTAGAGCTAAAATAGAGGGACTGAAAAACAGCCACTTAAGAACAGGCAATTTTAGTAAATGAAGCTGAGGAATTCTGTTAAAAACCATTTTAGCTGATCAGTGTTCAGTGTACCAAAAAGAATGGAGCTTTCCTACACTCAGAGATTTGCTTCACAGAAGACCTGGGCACTTAAAACTTAATTTATAATCTATAAAATTTCAGAGAATTTTGCAAAAATTTTAATTACCTCTTGAAACTGCTATCCTTTCATGTATGTTTAATTAGCTCTGGAAACTGTTATTTTACAGATATATTTTATTCTCATAATTTAGTGTGCCTTTAGAAGCCCATCAGTATTACAAAACAGATTTTTTTCCTAAAGCTTCTAAAGTAAACAAAGTCTGACCTATCTTCTCTTCATCTCTCCCCCCCCTGTCATTTTTCCCTCATGTATTTTTTGATTAATTAGTTATTTAATGTGTATGGGTATTTTTGTTAGCATGCATTACATGTGCATACACCATGTGTTCCTGGGGGTCAGAAGAGTTGGGTGGATCCCCTGGAACTGCAATTATAGATGGTTGTGGTAGCCATGTGGGTGCAAGAAATATGAACCCAAGTCCTCTGGAAGAGCAGTCAGTGCTCTTAACCACTGAGCTACCTCTATACGCCCCCCCCCCACCTTATACTTTGAGAGCTAGGACTTCACCATGTAATCTAGGTTGGCCTCATATTTGTGATCTTCCGCTCAGAAAGTGCATGCTGCCATGTCTGGAAATAGGATAATTTAAAGACAGTGTGCAGGGAAGAGAGTATCCCAAGCACAGTGCAGAGGACATGTGGTGGTTTGCCTTAGTTCCCACACACAGGAGGCAGAGGCAGGGGGATCGCTCAGTTTCAAATCCAGCCAAAGTCACTGAGTCAAACAGCAAAACAAAATGGCATTTAGAATATTTCAAGAACAATTTGATGAACAGTGACTTTTTTCTATTTTCTAAACATGAGAAATAAAGTGCTGGGATTAGTTGCAGGTGGATTTTGTCTAGAGAGCAGAGAAATTTATTTGTAATGCTGCTTATAATAAAAAGCTTAGCAAAAACATCATAAAGGGAAAAACCCTAAGAAACAAAGTGGAAATGAAAAAGAAAACAATTCTCTCTAATTAGATAAGGCAGAGCATTGCACAAGGGAAATCAAAATATAAGCCAGGCTTTCCAGTATCTGAGGTAATGGTAACCATATAAATGTCCTATCGTATCTTCCAAAAACTACACAGATCGCTGGGTGGTGGTGGCACGCACCTTTAATCCCACCACTCTGGAGACAGGCAGGCAGGTCTCTGAGCTCAAGGCCAACCTGGTTCACAAAGTGAGTTCCAGGACAGAGAGGACTACACAGAGACCCCATCTCAGAAAACAAAACTCAACACAACAAAACAAAAATAATACAACAACAAAAAAGAAAGGAAGGAAGGAAAGAAGGAAGGAAGGAAGGAAAAGAGAAAGAAAGGGAAAACTACACAGACCATAAACTGGGAGCAGTGGCACATGCCTTTAATCCTGGCACTCAGAGGATCTCCATCAGTTTGAGGCCAGCCTGGTCAATATAGAGAGTTCCCCGACAGCCAGGGATACACAGTGAGACCCTGTCTTAAAAACAACAACAAAGAACAAAACAAAACCCTACATAGATCAGCAACAATGATACAAAATCCACAGTATCACGGGTTACAGAATGTTGCCAGCCTCACACCCTGTGTCAGGAAGTAGAACGAGCTGGCTGGAAGGTGGGAGAGCCGGATTGAGTACTGGGGGTGAGGTGGGGCTGTGTCCTGAGAACTCAGGGTGCTGAAGGCAAGAGTACAGCCCCTGCAGACACCACTGGCTTCCTGGGATACAGTCGGCCCCACAGTCCTGGCTCAGTAAACCGCTGTATTTCTTTGGGTCGTGTTTATTTCTTCCTGCAAACACTTGGTGCACAGGTACTATCAACTGATTGTGTGCTAGGCAATATGAAGGAGATGACGGCAGGCTGTCCCTACCCGCCCAGGGACACCAATCTACTGGACAGTCTGTCCTGCGGGCTGCATCTGTAAACACCGACACTATCTCTCTCACACCACTGCAAATACCACTCAAGGCAATGCTCACATGTGAGCACCATCCAAAAACTTGAGAAAGAGATGTATTTTTAAAACAGTTCTCTTTCATATAATGACAATAACTGTCTTAGTTAGGGCTTCTTGGGGAGGAAAGGGCTTGTGGTAGTTTGAAAGAAAATGTCCCCTAAAGGGAGTGGCACCATAGAAGGTGTGGCCTTGTTGGAGGAAGTGCATCACTGTGCGGGTGGGCTTTGCGGTCTCCTTGGCCCAAGCTATGCTCAGTGCAACACACAGCTGCTTCTGCTGGCTTCAGATCAAGATGTAGAACTCTCAGTTCCTTTTCCAGAACCATGCCTGCCTGATGCTGGCACACCAATAACAGACTAAACCTCTCAACTGTAAGCTAGCCCCAGCTAAATGTTTTCCTTCTGAGAGTTGATGCGGTCAAGGTGTCTCTGCAGCAGGAACACTGACTAAGACAAAGCTTATTCAGCTTACACTTCACATCACTTCATCATTGAAGGAAGTCAGGACAGGAACTCAAACAGGGCAGGAATCTGGAAGCAGGAGCCAGGGTGCTGATTACTGGCTTGCTTCCCTGGCCTGCTCAGCCTTCTTTTCTATAGAATCCAGGACTACCAGCCCAGGGATAAGACCATCCACAATAGACTGAGCTCTCCCCACCAAAATCACTAATTAAGAAAATGTGTTACAGCTGGATCTTATGGAGGCTTTTTCTCAATTGAGGGCCCCTCCTTTCAGATAACTCTAGTTTGTGTGTCAAGCTGACAGAAGACCAATCAGCACAATAATGCAATAATGAGGTTATAAAAGGCCAAGCAATTTATATAATTGTGACCAAGTAGGACATAACCCCAAATTGCTGTGTGATGGTTTCACACACACAAACAGAAGTACAATGGCAGTCTTGAAAAGGGAACTGAAGACCGTGAACGGCTTAAAGAACTTAATATGGGAAAGAGAAAGTCTTGCCCAAAGGAAGGGCTGGCCTGGCTCTGAGGGGCAGACTGCCAGACGCAATGGGAGAAACGTGTAAAGAGGCAAATTAACATATCGTGGTGACTTCAGCAATGCTAAAAGCACCAAAACCAACGAGAACCAATTCTTGACAGCGAAGGAGGCTGGATGCTGGGCACCTGAGGAGGCACCTGAGGACACTTCTGTGAGGAGGCTGTGTGGGGAAGCTGCATGGCTGCCCGGTCCCCCAGTGTGAATTTTTAGGTTGTCTCTCTCCTCTTCTCAGCACTCCCGTGTCAGCAACAGGTACAGTATCTGTACCTACAAATTCTGAGTACATGGGTTTTTTTTTTTTTAATTTAGATTTGATGTGTCTGGATGTTTGCTGCGTTTATGTATGTCTGTGCACCGTGTGTGCACAGTGCTCTTAGAGATCAGAAGGCATCAGATCCCCTAGAACTAGAGCTACCAAGTGTAGGTTACCCTGTGGGTACTGGGATCAAGCCTGCAGTCCTCTGGAAGAGCAGCAAGTGCTCTTAACCACTAGCCATCTCTCCAGCCCCGAGCACGTTTTTGTAACTATGAACTATTCTATGACATGCAGTGCTTTGCTCTGATACTGGAAGCGTAAGGACAGTATGCTGTGGCATATTCTCACAGCTTGCTCACCTTTGCTGAGGAAACAATCTGCTTGGCCTGGCGTCTGGACAGATGCTCAATTGTCCTCACTAGCACGTCTGGATTGGCATTGGCTAAGTGCATTATAGTCTTGTAACCGGCACTGTATAACTGTTTTGCTCGACCCTAAGGCATTTAAAAAAATTAATACTATGAGTATTTGTGACTATAAAAAAAAATCTACATTCAACAGACAACAGATGAAGATACTAATGTAAATATGAAGAGACGACATGGCAGAGTACTACAGAATATTAAGGATGTGTCTGGGAGTTTGAATTGACTCGGGAGTTTTCCACACAGTGGAAGTCATCAGGTGTGCTAAAAGTCTGCTCTCCGCGGCTGAGTGCATCTCAGCTGCCACCACCACTGCCACTGCCACCATTCCTCACTGATAAGAAACCCAGCAGCGCTCCAGGAGTCCCCGGGCTTTCCACATCGGACTGGGACCTCTGCCATCCAGTCTCAGGGACTGAGCAGGCTGTGGAGACCCCTGCTGCGGGACTACCCAGCAATGTCAGCCGATGAAACAAGTCCCCTTTGTTGATATATAGTGAGTCTATCAGTTCTGTTCCTCTTCTATTCCCCATTCTGCAGCAGCACTTCACAAAATGGTAAAACCTAATCTTCCCATCAGTAAAAACAACCTGAGCTGGGGAACCAGAGCAAGGCTGACCTCTAAGACCCCGGTCACTTCCATGAGCGGGATTAGCTCCGCCTTCACGCAGTAGGTCAGTTTCTTGGTAAGTTCTACCAACAGGGCTCTGTAAACCCAAAACTCCTCCAGCTCCTGAGAAAAGAAAGATACATCAAATGTTAAGCTAAGCAAGTTACCTCTACATTTATTCTGAAGTTTGGGTGTAGCGAGGGAGAGGACGATCCCAAGCACAATATCAAGGAGGCATGGTAGGCACCCTGGCAGCTCGATGAACTAGCTTTCGGGGGAGGAAAAAGATTGAAAATAAAAAACCAAGTTATTTCTAATCAAAATCACAGGAAATGAATGTACGGCTTTGTTTGTCAAGTGACTACAGTTTTTACCTCTGGGAATTATCCCAGAGACAGAGTATTAAATAAAGAAAGATTCAAATGCAGCATAATATTCAAGGAAACATTGTCTAAGCTAATAAAAGCAAGAAATATGAATCGTGAGCATTAAACATGGCTTGGAGGCATTCCTATCAATTGATCTTCTCCAGAGGGCGGGGAGCCGGCTCTGAGGGAGGTGCCTGCTGCACACTCGAGGGTGGGGAGCCGGCTCTGAGGGAGGTGCCTGTTGCACAAGAGTGAGGGCCCTCAGCACCCACGTGAAAGTCAAGTGAAGCGGCAGAGGTCTGTGACCCCAGCACCAGATGTCTGTGTGGGTGTGTAGCCAAAATGGGGAGCTCCAGGTTCAGTGACAGACCCATTTTTTGTATTTTTCTATTACCCATTCTGTGTAATTTTCCTGCTAGTAGAAGTAACCTGAGCTGGGGAACCAGGACAAGAAGGAAGAAGAAGCAATTGAGAAAGACACCTCTGATGTTGACCTTTGACCTCCACATGCAATTGTGGCAAGTGCATACATGTGCACCCAAACAGGTATGCATGCACATGCACACACACAGTGTGCACTCCCCCACGTTCAGTTTAGTATACTGCAAACTCATACACTAAATATGTTTGAAATGTTAATTTTAAAAGGCGCCTTTCTAGGCTGTGGGTATCACCATAAGAACATATAATGTCACCCTGATGTCACCGAGCAAGCAGCTGCTGCACTAACAGCAGAGCTAAAGGATGCCAGTGGAACTGCCAGACAACCAGTGCCCAGCTGCCTGGGGTGGGCCTTCCTGCTGCACCACTACACCGGAGGGCCTTCCCGCTACACCACTACACCGCTACACCAGAGGGCCTTCCCGCTATAGTGGAGGGCCTTCCTGCTACACCGGAGGACGTTCACTAAGTTTCCACGATTATCTGTGGTTAAAAGCTGCCTTCACTAATACAGCTGCCGTGCTACCTCATGCCGCTGATGGCTTCCTCAAGGGAACAGAGTCACTTATTAAAGGACACTAATTACCCTTCATTATTCTACACACACATAGACTAAAGGTTTAAGCTAGGAAAGAAAAGAAGCTGAAATTAAAAGCTGACAAAAACAGCCTATATGATATGTCAATTAAAGATTATTTCAGTAGCTACGTCTGATAAGACTTGCCATGCTATTTGAGGAAATACTACAGTTTTCTAGTTTATATGAGTTTATTTATATACATATATTAAGTATATGTATATGCAAAGCCCTATACTTGATGTGGATTCCTAGCCTGCCTGCCAGGCACTAGGACTTGCTGCATATCACCGTGGCTGTCCAGAAAACACGACACCGAGTAATCCCACGGCAGCTAATGGTCACGGCTCATGGGTCACTATGTGGAAGCTGCGGGTTGTGATGGACAGCTTGGAACTATTAGCAGTGGCCCTGGGAACAGGCCAGCTCTGCACCTTCTACTGACTTAAGTGTTGTAGTAGACTCGGTAATTTCGGCAATATCCCATAAGCTCACACATAGTAATCTTGTAAACAGGCAGAAACAAAGAAATGCTTTCAATAATCCGCATGCTTTGAAATAACACAGTAACTCAGCAGAGAGGAAAGACTGACACCTGCTTTACAAGCTTAATAACAGCGGAAATGAAAAGACCAGAAGTACATGTCACACGTGGAAGTGAATTACCTCACAGAAATGTAACACACTGGACGAGAAAGAGGCGGCTCCCGTGAGCAGGCTTTGTACGTGTCCTCGGGGCATATTAAATTTCTCAGACACACTCCAAACGTTGGTCTCTTTCAGCAAGGAATAAAGGACAAAAGACAGATAGAGCCTGTTGACGATGTTCTTATCCACCTTCTAGAAAGACACAATCAATAAACTCAGTCGGTAGCTGGGCAAAAGGCAAAGGGAATGAAACCACACAGGCCGGCAGGGACAGAGTGAGCGCACAAAAGCAGAGTGCCCTCTACCTCAGCTCCCCGATTTTTCTGTCCTAAGGAGAAAAGGGAGAGGTCTCCAGTGTAAGGTCCACTCCCTCTGCAGGGAGGGGAGTGGACTGAAATGCGCATGCTCTAACACCTGGACCCGTGACTGTGGCAGTCGGGAAGGGGACCTTTGCAGATGTTGTTAGCTCGGGACGTGTAAAGGACACCATCCAGGATTCACCTCGGGCCCTGAACTCACTGACTGGAATCCTTATAAAATGAGGAAAGGACAGAGACACAGAAGCCAATGAAGAGCGAGAGTCGGGGCAGAGATGTGCCCGTGAGCCTAGCAGCTAGCTGCCTTGCCCAAGCCTCGCGGCTGGAAGAGAGCAGGTCAGGATTCTTGCGGTCTACCCAGAAGTCAGCATTGCCCGTACCTTGATTTCAGATCTGGGGTCCTGAACTGCGAGGAACCGAGCCGGGCCTCACTTACGCAAAGGCAGGGCTCCTGCTGAGGCCGGCTGCTTTCTGTTGTTTAACTCGCCCGCGGCGTTAGAAAATGAACACGAAGTGGGACGCGGGAGTGTGGGAGGCACGGGGGTCCCTGCGCTCACGGAAAAGCACTAGGGGAGCCAGGAATGTTCCAGACAACCTACTGTTTAACCCGTGTGGCACACAGAAGGCTGGGAGCAAATGTGCCTAACAGCCTGGTGACCTTAGTCATGCTTACCAATCGGCGGAACCCATCTTCATGGGAGATGTCACATGTACTTCACAAGGGGCTTGATGTCATTTTCAGGAACATTTTCACCAAATTGAGCAGTACTTAATTAAATATGACCACTCGGGGTCAGACTCTCAAAGCTTGAGCCAGTACTGCCTGCATGTGGAGCCGAACTCCCTTCCTGCCTCCCAGGGAACAGTACTCAGCTGGAAAGGGGGGCGACCTCCACACTGACCGCACTGTTTGCGTGTGGATGGAAGTAGACAAACACGCTGGCTAAACGGCGAGCTTGTCTGTACTATCCACTGAAAGGAGATAGGCTATGGCTCACATGGCCGTGCCAGTCAGTGTCCCAAAGCGGAAACAGACACAGAAAACGACTTCTGTCTGAGATTCTACTTTTGCCAGTGATGTTAGAGATCTCATTTTTTGTACAAACAATTTCATCACTAGTATCAAGTTAACTTGCCAGGTGGTGTTGTACTCCTGGAATCCCAGTACTTGGGAGGCAGAGACAGGCAGATCTCTGTTAGTTTGAGGTCAGCTTGGTCTACAGAGTGAGTTCCAGGACAAGCTCCAAAGCTACAGAGAAACCCTGTCTTGAAAACTTAAACAATTTTACAGATGGACTTGGAAGATAAAAAAAAAAAAGTTGTAAAATATGTTATTTGAGCATGATGGTGTGCCTATAATCCTAGCACTTGGAGCCCAAGTTAGGAGGGTCAAGACCTGAGTTACATAGCAAGTCCCTGTCCAAAAAGAAAAACATAAATAAGATACAGAAACGAACTTTGAGGGGCTGGAGAGATGGCTCAGTGGTTAAGAGCATTGCCTGCTCTTCCAAAGGTCCTGAGTTCAATTCCCGGCAACCACATGGTGGCTCACAACCATCTGTAAAGAGGTCTGGTGCCCTCTTCTGGCCTGCAGACATGCACACAAACAGAATATTGTATACATAATAAATAAATAAACAAATAAATAAATATTAAAAAAAAGAAGAAAGAAACGAACTTTGAGATAAACGCTACTGATCAGTGGATTTTGAGTTACAGATCCAGCATGTATATAATGAGCCATCCTTTTAAAAGCATTAAGCTGAAGAAGTATATTCAATACTGGGCAGACAAGATAGCTTTTTAATTTGTCATTTTTAATGTGCTTTTACCAGTAACTATAAATTGAGTAAATGGAGGCTTTGCTTAGAATGTAATTTCAAAGCCAGGAAAAATGACAGAATTATTAAATGGTTGGATGGATGCTCTAATGACAATTTCAAGCGTTTGCAAGAAATGTCAGTGATAAGGGGTGGGGCTGCTGAGATGGCTTGGTGCACAAAGCTCTTGTTGTACAAGCCTGACGGCGTGAGCCCGAGCGCTCGGGCCACAGAAAGGGGAAAGGAACCAAGTCCACACTCCCGGACCTCCATATGAGTGCTGCGGGATGAATGCGTGGGCACACACGCACAATTTTAAAGGAGTAGGTGTGGGGTGGAGCTTTGGCTTTTTCTTTTTCAGATTGTATTTATTTGTGTGTGTGACTGTGTGTGACTGTGCGTGACTGGGTGCATGTGTGCCTTGGTGCACACGAGGAAGCCAGAGGACAGTTCTCTGTGGCTCTTGTTGTTTCTGGCACACTGTGTAGTCTAGGCTAAGGCTTTTCAGGGGACCGTGAGGACAGAACTCAGGCCATGAGGCCAGTGTAGCAAGAATATTTTCCATTTTCCATGGAGCTGTTTTGCCTGCCCAACTTTCTTCTTCAATATGGAGAAATAAATTATGTTGTTTTTTTTTAAAGATTTATTTATTAGGCATACAATGTACTGCTGACAAGGAAGGTACCAGGTCTCACTACATTACAGATGGTTGTGAGCCACTATGTGGTTGCTGGGAATTGAACTTGGGACCTCTGGAAGAGCAGCCGGTGCTCTTACCCTCTGAGTCGTCTCTCCAGCCCCAATATAAATTATGTTTTAAGTAAATACCTTTTTCTTGGTTTTTGAAACCAGGTTTCTCTGTAGCCTTTGGCTATTCTGGAAATTGCTCTGTAGATAAGGTTGGCTTCGAGCTTACGCACAGAGACCCATCTGCCTCAGTTCCCTACTGCTGATATTAAAGGCATAAGCCACCCCTCACCCATAAATACCATTTTCTTCAGAATTTGAAATAGTGATATGTCTAAACTATTAAGTAAGTAAATAGATTATTAAATATTTAATTATCACACAACAAACATTGACTATATATGAAAATGTAACAAAATTAAATTCTAGATTCAAATTTTCAAAGATACCTTATTCTAAGGAGATTTTGTATGTGGTATTATTTAGTAGTTAGTCTCCAATTAGTATGATTTTGATTTTACTTTACATTTTAGAAGTTAATATAAAAGGTCTTTTTTTAATGTAAAATTTTAAAAAATTTATTTAACTTTATTTTATGTATATTGGTGTGAAGGTATCAAATCCCTTAGAATTGGAGTTAGAGACAGTTATGAGCTGCCATGTGGGTGCTGTGAATTGAACCCAGGTCCTCGGGAAGAGCAGCCAGTACTCTTAACCACTCTTCAGCCCCAATATAAAAGTTTTTAAAAGAATATTTGTATTCGTCATTTCAAAAATCTAGCCATAGGCAATTCCAAAGTAAAAGATCAAATCTGAACATTGTAAAGTCTGTCTGTCTTTTTCTCTTGTTTTTGTTTTGTTTTGTTTGTTTTTTTTAGAACAGGGTTTCTCTATGTAGTCCTGGCTGCCTTGCAACTCATTCTGTAGACCAGGCTGGCCTTGAACGCACAGAAATCTGCCTGCCTATCTCCAGGGAGCATTGGGAGCTTTTTGAGACCAATAAAACAACAACAACAACAAAATTCAGATTCCTCCTGTGCAGAATTTGTAACATCAAGTAGGACAGCTCATATAAAGTTTCTGGAAAATAACTTTATATTGGTGTCTTTAGGAGCTGGAAGCTAAGTGGCAGAATACTCACCTAGTCTGTGCAAGTATCTAGGTTTCAACAGCACCACACACACACACACACACACATGCTACATATATAAATCACTGTGCATAATATATATTACAAAATATTCATTTCAAATTGAACTTATATACACAGTTATATTGTGAAAATATTTTATAATATAAGCCAAACAGATTAATAATTTTTGTTTTATTTAAAAGCAGGGTCTCACTGTGTAGCTCTAGCTTGCCTGGAATGCACTGTGTAGACCAGGCTGACCTCGAATTCACAGAGATCTACCTACCTCTACCTCACGCGTGCTAGGGAACAAAAGGATCAGGTCAGTAAAGGGGGTGATGCACTAATTTTGTTGGGTGATTTAGCCCATTATTAGGAGACAAGAGACGCCGCACCTTTCTGATGGCTTGTCCCGATGCCTTCTTCCCGATGAAGCTTTCTGAGACTCCAAGGAGAGCAGCTACATTTTGCTCTGCTGGACTGAGCTGACTAAACTACACAGAAAAGGAATAAACACACACAAAAAATTGTAGCTTTACAAGTCTGTCATCTGAGCCAAATCCAGTATTAATTTTGAAGTCACATTTTCATAATTGTAATGGACAAGAAAAAAAAGACACTTATTTACAAATATTTCAAACTTTAAAAATATAAGATCAGAAGACAACATACTTTATAGAATTATCATCATAAGCAGAACAATATTTCATCAACACCAGACTATACATGATGGTGGTTCCATAGAATTGCACAGCCTAGAGATGTCACAGCTGTCTTGGTGTGTAAGCATGCTCTAATGACCGTCTTACTGCATTCCTCAGATCACATCTCTATCCTTGGTGCTGGAGATGGCAAAGCACAGCCCCCCTCCACATGTGGTTCCTGAGATGCAGGAAGCAATTCCCTCCAGACAACACAGTGGCAGCTAAATGAGCGTGTTGCTTGAGGGCCAAGGAGAAAACACCTATGTGCCCGGAGGACCACTTTTATGGCATCTGCATACGCATTTGTCAATGTTACAGATGATTCTGGTTATAGCAATTCTATTAGTGCACTTGTTCTTCATGTTCTCTTTTTCCTTCCACACCAGTGGCGTCTGAAAATATGGATGTGCTGTATGATAATATGAGTTTTCCTGATCTGATAGAGCGGGCACGCATTAAAGCTGTAAAGCAGGCTATGGGGGAAAACCTGACTGATGAAAGAATTAGGGAAATATGGGGAAAATGCAGAAATTGTTTTTTGCCTGATTATAAAACTTGGCAAAAGAATTATACTGAAACAGAAAAAACTTGGCTATGATGAACAAAGTTTCTGAAGAACCTCGGGCTTTAGGGCTGACTGCTTATGGCCTTATAAATCAAAATTGGAATTATGAGGAACAACAATGGGAAGGGTATGACAATGGAGTGAAACCCACTGAACTATGCTTCTGTAACTGCAGGTAGTTAGCCTCTGAGGTGAAAGCCTCAGAAGCTGTTGAATGATTAACTCAGCTAAGAATTAAAAATATAGTGGCTGGCATGGGGCTTGGGAACTGGGGAAATGTCATAATGAATGATGATGTTCTGATTTCAAAGTATCTTTGTACTTCTTGTGAACTGCTCTGCCCAGGTAATGATGAACCTGTGGCAAGGAGAAAGAATCATTCTCCTCATGTAAAATTCACAATAAAAGACTGAGGTGTGAAGCTCGGGGTAGAAGAACCTCCCTGCAGCTGTCGCCTGTCAGCTGCATCAGAAGCCTGGGCTCCTGTATGCATTTCGCCTTCCAAACGTCCTCCATTCGAGACCCACTTCTCTGCCAGGCTGGTCCTCGGCAACCGCAGTAGCAAATGACTGTGCATGAAGACATGGCCACAGCACTTCTGAGGGACTGTGATTATGTTTAGTATTAGAGTGAGCTACAAGAGGAAGAACAGGCACAGGGGCTTTGAAAAACCTGCACCATACAGTACTGCTTCAGAACTCATGTAATGTCATACAGTACTGCTTCAGAACTCATGTAATGTCATACAGTACTGCTTCAGAACTCATGTAATGTCATACAGTACTGCTTCAGAACTTCATGTAATGTCATACAGTACTGCTTCAGAACTTCATGTAATGACTAAATGACTAACGACTATAGAAGTTAACTTCCTGAGATTAAAATGCTGAGGCAGGGCAGGGCTTGGGGCTGTAGTTTCATGGTAGAACACACACTTATTATACACAAGGCTTTGGGTTCAATCTTTAAATGGGGGTAGAGGGGAAGTCAGCAGCCATTTTTGCCTACTATAATCATGTGTGTTCATTCAGCCAGTCCACAGAAAAAATTCCTAACACCTTACCTACCAATTGATTTAATTACACATAGGGCTAGTTCTCCTGTGTTACTGGCTATAAAATAAATACTCTTTGTGAAGCTGGGAGAGGGTTCAGATAGTACATTTCCTGCTGCACAAGTGTGAGGGCCCGAGTTCAATCTCCAGAACCCATGTAAAAAGCCAGGCGTGGCGGCTGCTGAGCTCATCTGCCAGTCAGCCTAGACTAAGAGGGGAGCCCCAGGTCCTACTGAGAGATCTGTCCAAAAACCAAGGTGGATGGCTCCTGAGGAATGCACAAACATCCACCTCCTGAGCACACACAGATAAATATTTAAAAGAACCCAATAGACATATGTGTGTGTGTGCGCGAATATCTTAAGAGCCACAGTTTTGCATAATTGGTATGTGATAATCTAAATGAAGAGAGGCAGAAGCCCTGAAAGATGAAAGGTCTAATCCCAAAGCTTCAATAGAGGAGAGGCAGTGGCTAACACTCGACAAAAGTCCAAAGTGGCCTGAGTTGAAAAGTCCTGTTTCTTACCTGCCTGAAGTACACCATCCAGTCAGGCTCAGACTGAGCAGCAAGGTCGTAGGGGGTTGTTAGGTAGACCAGATGGAGAAGACTTTCCAGTACAAGTCCTTCAAGACCTTTCTTCAGGTCTCTATACAGAATGTCACAATAGGCCAAATCAATGGCCCCTAAAGAAATACAAACACATTCAGGAATGACTCAATCTACTCTTAGCCACGTATGTTGTGCCTGTTTGGCCCAGCACTCAGATGGCAGACTTGGATGGTGGGGCCAGGGGAAGACCAACCACAGCTACCCAGCAGTCTGAGGCCAGACTGCCTCTCATGAAACCCAGTATCAAAAGTCAGTTTAGATTAGTTTGAATTTGAAAAATATATTCAATGTCTTAGAGTTTTAGTTTGTTCAATTTTAAAAAACAGTAAAACGTAACTGAGTCATAAACAAGAATACACTGAAGCTTTGTAAATTGGAATAATTCCTACATAAATAACATGAATGGATATGAAACATACACAGATATCTATGATATTGGTCTGTTTGTGCCTGTAGTATGTAATGAAATAAAAACAAACACTTTGAAAGATTGAAAATAACAAATACAAAGACTTGTTATTCTTGTTGGCTGAGGATCTCAGCCAAGGTCTCTTCTACGACTGCACTAGAGTTCAGGTCCTAACTTAAATCTTGTGTAGCAGTTAAATAACTACGGGAAGTAACTTCAAATTCTCTTATTTGTAATGATTTTGGAGGTTATTTTAATACTATGTATCAATTTTTAGACAATTCTGATATAACAACTCAATTTTTGGTAATCTAGCTAAAACCTGATTTCAATGTGGACCCAAAGTAAATTGAGATGACCACTCTATAAATCATGCGGTTGTTTATGATTAGAAAGATCATAACAATACAGTGTTTATAAATAAAAGGTGATTAAATACTTAATGTTCTTATTACGGATGACTACAGTATAAAAGGAACGTGAGCCTGGGCTCTTAGTACAGGCCCACATATAATTCCAGCTACCTGGAGGCTGAGAAAGGAGGATTGCAAATTCAGGGACTGCCTGGGTTACAGCTGACCAGCTAGCTTGGCCAACTTAGTGAAACCCAGTTTCATAAACAAAAGAGGGAGCTGGGGGTGTAGCTCAGAGGCAGTGTGCCTGTCTGACATGTGCGATGCCTGTCTTGGTGTGGGAGATCCTTCTGTATATGTGTTGCTTTTATTGGTTAATGAATAAAGAAAAACTGCCTTGGCCTGTTGATAGGGCAGAACAGAACTAGGCAGGAAAAACTATACTGAATGCTGAGAGAAAGAAGACAGAGTCAAGGAGAGACGCCATGTAGCCATTGCTGGGAACAGACATGCCAGAAACTTGCAGGTAAGCCACAGCCACGTGGTGATACACAGATTAATAGAAATGGGTTAAATTAAGATGTAAGAGTTAGCCAAAAAGAAGCTAGAGCTAATTGCCCAAGCAGTGATTTAATTAATAGTTTCTGTGTAGTTAGACTCTGAGCAGCTGGGAACAAACAAGCAGCCTTCCTACAACAGACTGGCACTCCAACGTGTGCTAGCTAAATCCACATAAAACCTAAGAGGGCTTGGAAAGGAATTCTAGACACTAAATAACAAAGTTTAGCCGCATTCTCCCCCCCCCCCCATGGGCTCTGCTTGCTGGCGGCAAGCTCCTTTAAGAGAAGTCTTCCTGATTAGGCGGTAGTAGCAAAAGGAAAGAAAAAGTGCTGTTTCAAAATGGCACCACAAACCGCTCTGGCTCTTTCAGGACGTCAGGCATTTGAATGGCATCTGTGGACCCACTCAGGGTCAGGAGGAAAGTAGCTGAGACCAAGCCCACAGCTCAGCTCTTCCTGCCTGTGCAGGCAGTAAAATCAGGTCCACTAGGTGTGCAAAAGGAGGAGAGTATGATGGATTCCTGCTGCCACACACAGAGATATTTCCAGGTCATGCAGAGCACTGCATGGCAGATTTAACTATTGCTCAGCTAAAAAGGGTTTATGTGCTGCATGCTCATTCTCAGAGTTAAAGTGGTGAGCACAGCTCCTACCTGGAAGTCCCAGAGCTGGCAGTAATGGTACTTCTGCCATATTGAAAAGGGAGAGAGGCAGAGCCAGCACCCAGGGCCACTGTGACTAAGCTGCTTACCATTTTAAAAGCTCTCTAGGACAGAAAAGGATTACAAATAAACAATAGTACAGATTCAGACATAAAAGAACTCTAAATGAGTCACAGTGTTGGATAAATGTACGTAGTCTTGGGAAAGAGAAAAAAGAGTAAAGAGAATAAATATAATATAAAAGAATACAGATAATCATAGATTAAAGGAGCAAAGATCATAAAATAAATATTAAACCTTTATAAAAAGTAATAAGAAAAATAATACATGTAAAAATGGAATATACACAGAGAGTCTGGATTATGTATATTATTGTGTTGTCTTTGAATTTTTTGACTGTGAAGGAGCTAAGTATAGAGAGATATTTCATTGCATGGGCTGCTAAGCTAAACCAGCATAGGTATTTTAAAGATATCATGACTTCAGCATTTGGGTTTAAGGATTTGTTGCTTCTTTTGTTTCTACAGAGGATGAAAACCTGTGGAATCCTTCCAGACTAATGTGGTTTGATAGACCAACCCCTGCCAAAGGTCACTGTAAAAACACCCCCAAAAATTACTTTGCCCAACAAAAAGCAGGAATCAGTTTGGAGAGAACTATGCCCAAATTTCCTAAATGACTGCTTATAAATGTTTGTTTACATTTAAAGGGGGATGTGCTATAGAGATGGATACTTTGCACTGGTATGGATCTTGGTCTATTGATACAAATTTAAGGACAATTTTGTTATATGTATATTTCTGCTCTTGATTAAGGTATTGTGTTTGTGCAGCTCATTTAAAAATGTAATGTAGGGCTGGAGAGATGGCTCAGAGGTTAAGCTCCAAGGACCAGCCTGCCTCTGCCTCCCTACCGCTGAGATCGCAGTCCCATGCCACCATGCCTGGCTGTTTATGTGGGAATCTGAACTCAGGTCAGGTTTTATGCTTGCACAGCAAAGACGTTACTGACTGAGTCATCTCACTAACCTCAGATTTTTTTTTTTTAAACAGCAGGCATGCATTGTTTTTCAATAAGTAAATTACAATATACTCATTAAGAAATAAATTCTTTGTTCAGATATAATCTATAAATTATGCAAAGAGCAAGTTCCAGAACAACAGAAATTACTTATTTAAAAGCAAAAACTTAAGCCTGTTTACAGCATATACTGAAAACTGAAGTAAAACACACAGAAAGGTGCTATTAGTGGCAGGTTTAAGTAGCGTGCTGCTGAGGGAGGAGACATGGCCATCTCCTTCTCTATACACTGCAATTACTTACAAGTCAAAATATTTCCTCACCTTCTGAAAGCTGAAAGTTTGTATGATTAACGTTTATAATATGAAATCACAAATTCAATTTAAAGAATGAAAATAACATAATTTCTATTGTTTCCAATGGATTCCTAGATTAGCTAAACTTACCCTTAAAAGAAGCGTGGCCCAGTTTTGTGATGTGGAAGCAACACTGTGCCTCCTCCGAGGCCCCGCAGCTGTCTCTTTGGAGAAGGCCTTTCTCTGTCAGGTAGTTAAGTGACTCAACAGTTATTTCCCAGAGACTCTTTTCTTTCAATAAAATCTTTTGCTGAACACCGAAAAATGTACCGTTCATAAACTGATATAAGTCACCAAGACTTGTTGCAATCTGAAAGAGTTCAGGACATCATTGGAAATTTTCCTTAGTTCAATGAATGAGATTATTCACTATTATTAAAGCTACTGGAAGAAAAAATTAGCACAAAATCTACATCATTTAAAATTAACAAGGAAAACAACAAAGGGAAAATATGTCATATCATTCACACTTGGTACACACATTTCTCATAAAGCTTTTAAAAAAAGAATTGTTATTATTTTTTACTATTATTATTATTACTATTACTATTATATGTTTTGCTTTGTTTTGAGACAGGGTTTCTCTGTGTAGCCTTGGCTGTCCTGGAACTCACTATGTAAACAGGCTGGTCCTGGAACTCACTATGTAGACAGGCTGGTCTTGAACTCAAGAGATTCGCCTGCCTCTGTATCCTGAGTGCTGGGATTAAAGGTGTGCACCACCACACCTGGTTCCTATTTCAGTATTTTTAGTTGTTGCCTGTGTGTGGTGAGGTTCGTGTGCAAGGGTACAGGTGCCTGTGGAGGCAGAGGTGCTGGATCCCCTGGAGCTGGAGTTACCGGTGTTTACAAATCGCCCAATATGCTGGGAACCGGACTTGGGTCCTCTGCAAGTACAGAACTGGCTCGTAACCTCGGCGCCGTCCTCCAGCCCCCAAATGCTGCAGTTTTTATATTACCTCCGAAGCTGAGCTGTGTGCCCTCCCCAGCCAGTTCCCCTTTCCACTCAGACCCTTTGGGAATCCTTTCTTCAGCCACTTCTACTACTCAAGGAAGCATCCTTCAGCTCCAAACACTGCATTCCTTGCCCTGCCCTTGGGCTCCTTGTCTCTCCACTCCTATTTGTCATTCACAACTTCCAGCAGTGACCCTAACTAACACCCTTCAATTGGTATTCAGTCATAAAACTCACTCTGAATTAGAATATACTTTAATTAGCCATTTTCACCAAAATCAGCATGTTATAGTAAGATATGATCGATCAATAGCTCTCTCTTACAAATCTGATGATATCTCAATGGGAATATTTAAGTAGTCATCTTATATTAAACCGATATAAGGGATAATAAAAATGTTATGGGCATTCATTTTTGTATTGCTTCTCTCCTTCCTTTTATTAACAATCACTGGTAATATCCGATCAAGCTCTAGTGCACTCGGAAGATATCCTAGAACTGTGTCCAGTTTGTGATCACCAAAGGGTTTAAGCTCTGGTGTTTTGAGTAAGATGCTCCCCATAGCCTCAGGTGTTTGGATACAGGGTCTCTAGCTGGTAGTGCGGCTTGGGTGGGGCCTCGCTGGAGGAAGTTTATCACTGGGGGTGGGCTATGATGGTTTAAATGCCACACCCATTCCCATTCGGAGCCCTCTGTCTTCTGCTTGCTATCTGAGATATGAGCTCACAGCTTCCAGCTCCACGGACATGTCTGTCACCTGCTGTATCCTGTCCCTAACATTATGGACCCTAACCGTCTACAGTAATTTTTTTAAAACTGATTCATTTATTTTTATTTTAATTGCATTGGTGTTTGCCTGCATACATTTCTGAGTGAGGGTGTTGGGTCCCCTGGAAATGGAGTTATAGATAATTGTGAGTCAACATGTGGGTTCTGGGACCTGAACCCAGCTCCTCTGGGAGAACAGCCAACTCTTATTCACTGAGCCACCTATCCAGTCCCAGATTTAGATTTGTTTTTGTTTTTGTGGTTTGTTTTTTCGAGACAGAGTTTCCCTGTGTAACAGTCCTAGCTATCCTGGAACTAGCTCTTGTAAACCAGGCTGGTCTCGAACTCACAGAGATCCGCCTGCCTCTGCCTCAGAGTGCTGGGATTAAAGGCGTGCGCCACTGCCTGGCTAGATTTTTTTTTATGTCACAGATTGTTCTTGTTCACATTACATTAGAAGCTAACTTTTTTTATATTTTATAATTTGCCTAAACTTGGAAAAACTGCTCTTATCTCAGGTAATAGCTGTGATATTTAAGAAGTCCTTTAAAAATACCTTCAAACTAATTAAAGACAGAAACAAAGTCTGGATCCCCCTGGTGAGCTCCTCAACAAGATGGCTGTAGCAGTTTTCCACGGGTCCGTTTATCAGCTCCAGGACCTACAAAGGTAAAGCAGGCGTGTGTCTGTGCTGTTAGTTTTTAACAGATGGTTTCATGTAAGCCAATGACCAAGAAAGAAAAGGAAGAAAGACGGGGAACAGCAGAAGTTGGTCAGGTGGGACGTTACCTGCTGCTTGTCTTTTTCTTGCAATAGAAGAATACTCTCGCCAACTGTGTCGATCCCAGCGCGGCCAGCCCTGCCAATCATCTGCTTATACTGATTCCTCCTTAAGAATTCTCTCGCCACGTAGGGGGCTCTTAGGATGACTCTGTGCATGGCACACAATTAAAGGAATCCTCTATGTCAACGACAGCACTTTTCAACACAATTCCTTCTTATCAATCTGTAACTAAATGTAATGACACGTCAGCTTTAGACAAAACTGCATTTAAGTAGATCTTTGATGTCCTAGGTTCTCGAGTATATCTTCTGCTTACTAAATATTTAACAACATCCTTATTTTCTTTTCTAATGAAAGAATCAGTTGAAGTTCAGTGAGTGGCTTATCTTAAGCCACAGGTTAGTACAAACCACAGCCATCCCTTGCACTCAAGTCTCTGGAGCTGTGAGGTCTATAGTAGTCTATAGCAGTGCTCACCATAGTTCCTGGATTTTATACCTAGAGCTCAAAGATTTGGCACAGACCGGTGCAGCGCGCTACCAATCTATGAATTGATATTACCTTTAACTGCAAGGTACTACAGATTTCAACTGGATTCAGTCTACAAAAACAGCAGTTTCAATCCTGCTTAGGTATAAACAAGTCGGTAGTCAGCTTTCTTCTTCAAAGGGAATTGAAGAATCTGTCATTGCTTATAAATCACCAACCTTTATTTATAAGTCTCAACAGACTGTTAGGATTGATGAACACTTAAAGACACCCAGAATCAGTGACTAAATGTCCACAGAAGATCCCAGAGGGACTCACAGCAGCTGGATTAAAGCAGACTGCTACAAGACATACAATACAAGAGAATACTTGGAAACTCACGTAAAATCTAAAGAGATAACAAACGAACATACTTAAAAGAACAGTAAAGACTAACTTTGTATCTTCTGACAATTCCATCCATGTATACAATGTATTGCCATTCTATATCATCCACTTCCACACCCTCCTATCCCCTCCCAGGTGGGCTTACCTCCTACTTCTGTGTCTTAAAAATCTGGGTTTTGGGTGGTACTGGGGTTTGAACCCAGGGTTTTCTTGGTGTTAGGCAAGCACTCTGCCACTGACCTACCTCCCAACCCACCAAGAAATCTGGATTTTACACAGAAGGTAGAACAGGAGTAGAAGTATGCAGATGAGAGCCAATAGCTTGAGGCACGTGTCAAGCCCGAGTCACAAGAGAACACATTAAAGATGAAAGGGGGAAATGCAGACGTGACTACCAACAGTTCTAAGATGGAGAGGACCACCATGCTCAAGATGGAGCCGCTCAGCAGGTGCCAAGCCCTCAGACAGGTAAGCTGGCACTGTTGAAATCACACAATCAGGCTGCTTGGGTTCCAACCTTGGCTTTGAAACTCATTTATCTGATGTGACAATAAACTAGTTAATTATTTTATAGATTTTTAATTCCATAAAATGTCAGTCATAAATTGTGAGGGTTGAATAAATAAATGCATATTTAGCAGTTAGGTGTGGGGAAGAGGAGGATAGTGATGTGGGACTAGGAGGGAATGATGTAGCGACTATGATTAGGGTAATCACACACCATGAGGATTAGGCGAAAGGGAAAGCCTAGAAGCTGTTGGAGGGGCTGGTCCCTGGACAAGGGTCCTTGCCTCTAAGGCTGACAACCTGAGTCCTATCCCCAGGTCCTGACCCACATGGCGGAAGGAGAGAACTGACTCCTGACTCGTCAAGGCTGCCCTCTGACCTCTGCAGTCATGAGGAGACATACATGTTCCTCTACCCCACAATAGAAATAACAGCTGTGGGAAGGAGAAAACCAGAAAACCATACAGAAACAAGAAGCTGGCTCCATGCTGCGTGGTAGCTCAGGCGTTAACCTCAGCACTTGAAAGCAGGTGCAGGAGGATTTCTGTGTGTTCAGCCAGGTCTACACGGTGTGGCCCTGTCTCTAAACAAATAAACAGGTAACTACGAACATAGGGTGACAGCACAGTCAGCGGCTATGACACCGAGCCTGCCTTAAGTACACCAGCAGAAAAGCATGCTTCTTAACATTCAAGAAAATCTTGTGATTTTCCTTTTTCTTAAGAAAAGCATGCTTCTTAACATTCAAGAAAATCTTGTGATTTTCCTTTTTCTTAAGAAAAGCATGCTTCTTAACATTCATGAAAATCTTGTGAAAATAAATTACTTGCTAGAAAACAAACAGTCATGAATTATAAAGAAGTCAGTTATATAGTTTTACAAGTTTGGTAATATATGAAGCAGTAACCGAGGCTCTGACTTTAAAAAGCTGGGCAGTGGTGGCATTTGACTTTAATCCCAGAACTCAGGAGGCAGAGGCAGGCAGATCTCTGTGAGTTGGAGGCCAGCCTTGTCTACAAAGTGAGTTCCAGGACAGCCAGGGCTATTACAGAGAGAAACCTGTCTCAAAAAATAAAAATAATTAAAAAAAAAAAAAAGCTATTGCATTTAGGATGGGCAGTGGTGGCATATGACTTTAATCCCAGAACTCAGGAGGCAGAGGAGGAGAATCTCTGAGTTCCAGGACAGATAAAGCCTGTCTCAAAAAACAACAACAACAACAACAACAACAACAACAACAAAGCTGTTGAATTCAGCCCCTCCCCTGCAGACTGGATGCAGGGCCTCATTCAGTCAGGCAGGATTCTAACCACTAAACTGGCTTCCCAAACTAAATCATGCCTCTAATTCCAGCACTAGGAAGGAAGCTGAAGGTGGAAGAATTCCCTCCAGTTAGAGGCCTGGGCTACAGAGACCCTACCTCACAAGATCAAGACACAAACAGAAAACACAAGAAAGAGAGAGTGCACAAGAGGGAGGGATCTAATACCTGCGAGCCGGCAGATTGACCCCCGCTGCCAGGGTGGATGTGCAGGTGAGAAGGCAGAGCACGCCTGTGGAGTAGGCCTCTTCCAGAAGCTTCCGTTCATCACTCGTTAGACCGCTGTGGTGATAGGCCACTCCGAAAGGGATGGTGCGCTTCAAGACAGGGCACACTTTGCCGTTGCCCATGTCCCTCAAGTTTTTAATCACTCTGGACTTTTCTTTCTCTCTGTGGTTTAGAAAGTCCCTAGAAAAAGAATCCCTTAGATAAGAGCCTGGGACTAGAGAGAGGGCTCAGCAGTTAAGAACACTGACTGCTTTTCCAGAGGACCCAGGTTCAGTTCCCAGCACCCACACAGCAGCTCACAACCACCCGCAACTCTAGTTCCAGGGGATCTGACACCTTTATGTGACCTCTGAAGGAATCAGGTATGTGCACAGTACACGTGTGTGTGTGTGTGTGTGTGTGTGTGTGTGCATGAACATGTGTATATGCAAAGCACCCATAATCATAAAATAAATAAATCTTTAAAAGGAGGAACTATGAGTCCTTGAATTACAGTTAGGAAGTGCTTACCACTTTCTTCTAATACACCATGCTAACATCCCTTCTAGCTATGAACTCCTTTTATCAGTACAGGACAGAAAACGTCTTTCCTGTGGACAGGGTGTAGACACTGTCTCCACAAGGGCCGGAGTTGATGTCCGTGCTCTTCTCACCATTTTCACCTTGGTTTTTAGACAGAATCTCTCACTGAACCTGGACTCCATCCAGCAAGACTAGCCAGTGGGCTCGAGGAAGTCTCCTGTGTGAGCTCCAGGGAACCTGTGTGTGCTCCAGGGAGTCTCCTGTGTGTATGCTCTAGGGAGTTTCCTGTGTGTGCTCCAGGCAACCTCCTGTGTGAGCTCCAGGGAACCTGTGTGTGTGCTCCAGAGAGTCTCCTGTGTATGCTCAGGGAGTCTCCTGTGTGTGCTCCAGGGAGGTCCCTATGTCTCTCCGTACTGGATTGTAGGTGGGTGCCACCATGCCTGGCGCTCACAAGGGTGCTAGGAATCCAAACTTGGGTTCTGTGAGCCATAAGGTTCTTTTAATTCTTACTTTGCTAACCATTAGGACGGCTCTCCAAGTCTTTCTTCGGATCACAGAACCCAATGGAAACCTGATTGAAACTAAGGGAAAGTCAACTATCTATCCAAACATAACACCTTAGAGACAAGTTCAGAAGCTTTGGGGACTTCCTGGATTTTGGTCCTACACTTCCTATGAATCCATGGAACGGATACTGCGACCTGGCCTTGAAGCAATGGCAGTGGTTAGCCTGCCCATACTGCATGCAGCCAGCCTGGGTCCATTCCCAGACATGCAGAGTGCTCTAAGATATGGCTGAACCCTAGGTCACTGCTCAGTCAAAGCTTCAAATCTAAGCCTTTGGGGGACAGGGTGGCATCACTCTTCTGTAACTGTAGAATATTTTACTTTAATGTGAGTTTCAGTTGAACTTTCTTTAAGATCAGCTCCTTCAGAATCTAATAAAACAATACATGCTCTGTGAAGAGAATCATGATCAGCACAAACAGTGCATTATTTAGTCTGTGGTTTACGACAAACATAGAAGAGATTTTTGTTTAAATTAACGTACTTGCTTAGAAATTTGCACAGCATTTCTGCTACATTCTCACAGTTCTTCTTGCTCGGGCAGAAAACCAGGCAGGAGTAGTTGGGGATAACTTCTGTCACCAACGCCACCAAGTGATCGGGATCCATCTTTTTCAGGGCATCAGAATACTGCAAAACAGGGAACCATGCAGATTGCAGTCACAAAAGCACATCCGTTTTCCTGTGTGACTTTTAAACTTCTCTATGTCTCATTATTAAAACAAGAAATGAAAGCTCTATAAAACATCAAGTGTTCAATTTTCTTCTTAGGTCATTAGTTAGGGACTTGGTTTGGGGGATACATTTAGTCTAAAAAGAGGGTTAAACAATTTAGAACGAAGGAAGTGAAAACAGTTCATGTTATTAATAATTCTGTTATGTGCCCACCTCCACCCGAGCAGAACAAAATGCCCAGAGGGAAATGAAGGCTGATGCCACCAACTGCCACAGAGCTGCTCGAGGGACTTCTTTTGCCATTAATAATTGGATTCCACAGCACTTTCAGAAGTGAAAATATCGCAATGAATTATGATAATTTGTAATTATCATGCAGGGACACAAAGGACAAGAAATAAAAGGTTGGTCATTTAAAATCTCCTTAGACCCTTTGACTTTACTGAAGACCAAGATAAGGGTTTAGAATATATCTCACAAAATTCTAAAGCTGTGATAAAACATGACCTTTTGAAATACTCCTCATGCCAGTTGTGAGCCCTTAGCATGCAAACATGATGCTTCTATACACCACTGTGTTAGTTAGACTATAAATTATCCTTTTGTTGTTGCTGGATGGATGACTTATCTACCGGATATGCCTCCAAATTTTCATGGTTCAGGAGCCAAGAAACATCTAACCGGTTCATTAGTCAGGTGCAAACAATCTAAGAAGTAAGTACTTCCTCAAAAATTCAGCAGTCATTTGAATCAAAAGTATTCTAGTTCTTAAGTAACACAAGAGCTCACTAACAGGATGTGTGCACAAGGTATTGTCTTTCAAACTGGGGTAGGATTGCACACAGTCCTGTTCTAGAGTTTTCACACAGTATCGTGTACAGCAACTATAAAATACCCAACTTCACAAACACATGCCAAAAAGAGAAGCCCAGTATGATCTAACTAAAACCGGACTAGCTGGAGCTCAGTGGGAGTGCATGCCTTGCATGAAAGGAGAGGCCCTGGCTAGATCCCCAGCACTGCAAACAAACAAAGAGGAAACAGGCTGCATTCAATCAGTAGCTGTTATCCATGACAAATCAAGTACCAGACACCTTCCCCCAGACACAAACCAGCTAGACCCCTGTGAACCGAGGCACAAAGGAGGGGCGCAGGGACTGAAGGGTTCCGAACCAGCACACCTTGTAGTTAAGGAGGCGAGAGAAGGTCATGCCGTTCTCAGCTCGGCTGTCCACCTCGTAGATTGTGTCATTCACTTTCAGGTATTCTTTCAGCTCAACCTTGAATTAAAAGGAAATACCAATTAATATAAAATTTGTAGTTTGGAATTTAATAAAATATTTTAACAAAGGACACTACACAAAGGATAGCGATGACTTCAGATACTAAGATGTGAAACATAAAATGAGTTCTGGGAAAACTCAATAAATGTTCATCGAGGGCCCGCTGTCCAGTCACTGCTCCAGGTGCTCTGACTGCATTAGTGACTCAAGCCAAGATCCCTAGCAGCACAGCTGACATTCTCCGTAAGTAAACTACTAGCACACAGCTCTGGCAAGTGGGATTGTGCACCTTAAAGCCCACTATGTTCACTTTATTCCTTTTTTTCTTTCTTTCTTTTTTTTTTTTTTTTTTTTGGTTTGTTTGCTTGTCTGAGACAGGGTTTTGGTGTAGGAGGTTCTTCTGTCTATATGTTGCTTTCATTGATTGAATAAAGAAACTGCCTTGGCCTTTCGATAGGGCAGGAACTTAGGTAGGTGGGAAAGACAGAACTGGATGCTGGGAAGAAGGGCAGACAGGCAGATGCCATGGTTCTCCTGCCCGAGACAGGCGCTGGTTAGACTCATGCCGGTAAGCCACAGTCAAGTGGCAATACACATTAATGGAGATGGGTTAAACTAACATGTAAGAGTTAGTCAATTATGTGGGAGTGTCATATATCAATCTGTTGATTTCATTGGTTAAGCAATAAAGAAACTGCTTGGCCCTGATAGGTTAAAACATAGGTGGGAGGAGTAAACAGAACAGAATGCTGGGAGGAAGAGGAAGTGAGGTAAGACTCCTCAGACAGACTCCATAGCTCCTCTCAGAGTCACACGCAATGAAGCTCTGACCCAGGATGGACGTAGGTTAGAATCTTCCCGGTAAGCGCACCTTGGGGTGCTTACACACATTATTAGAAATGGGCTAGCCCAGGTGCGAAGAGTTAGCCGAGAAAAGGCTAGATATAATGGGCCAAGCAGTGTTTAAAAGAATACAGTTTGTGTGTTGTTATTTCAGGACATAAGCTAGCAGGCAGCCGGGACGAAAAGCAGGCCCTCCCTCCATCAACAGGGTTTCTCTATAAAGACCTAGCTCACAGAGATCTGACTGCTTCCGCCTCCTAAGTGCTGGCATCAAAGGTGTGCATCACCACCCCAACCCCACCCCAGCCTGCCACCCTTATTTCTAAGGGGAATACAGATTAACCAATACCATGCAAACCTTGGGTACATACTGGTCTGAACTGACTGGTATAATACTCGGCTTTAAGGAACTCCTGCAGGTCTTGGACATTGTTTAACGTTGCACTCATTCCAATAATCTGAGTTGTTTCTAAAAAATCAAAATATTAAGAGTAATGTGTCATTTATGTCCTAAAGTAATTTTAGCCCACTTCACTGCCATCTGCCTGAGTGGAAACAAGGAGCAGGGAGATGAGGGTATGTTGTTGGAGGCCGCTTGTTCATTCCCGGCAAGCTCAGACCCAAAACAACCATACAGAAATCTGTATTAATTAAATAATTGCTTGGCCAATCACTTAAGCATATTGCTAGCTAGCTCTTACACCTAGAATTAACCCATTTCCATTATTTTATATTTTACCATGAGGCTCGTGGCCTACTGGCAAGGTTCCAGCTAACAGCTCTGTATATTTCCCCTCTGGTGGCTCCATGACATCTCCTGACCCTGCCTACTCTCTCTCTCTCTCTATATATATATATATCTCTTCCAACCTGGCTATGTTCTGTTAAGCCATTGGCCGAAAGCAGCTTCTTTATTCATTAACCAATGAAAACAACACATATAGAGAAGGACTTCCTACACCAAAGGTACAACTTGAGTGTCCTTTAACCAAAACATTTGGACCAAATGTTTCAGATTTGGGACTTTGTCAGATTCTGGAATATTTGCATATACATAAGGAAAAATCTTGATGTAACCTAGGTCCAACCGCACGGTTTATTTGCTTCATATACACCTCACACCCAAGGCGACTTTTCACGCTACTGTTAGTGCACCTGCATTTTGACTCTGCCCCATCAAATGAAGGCAGTAAAAACTTCCACTTGTGGTGTTATAACAGCAGTCAAAAAGTTTTAGCCCATTCTGGGTTTCTGATCTTCAGACTGACAAGCGGCATATTGTCACAGTAAATAATCTGAGGCTCAAGGAACGAGACCTTTCAGGCAGCGCGAATGGACACTTTGTAAGACTTGTAAACCAGACAGTGGTACAGCACACTGGGATGTGCATCTGACAGCTGCAGAGGACACAGGCTCAATGAGACCCAAACACCTTTTAAAACAACATCAGAGTTTGATCATGTACTGCTGGATAGCCTGGAACTCACTCTGTAGCCCAGGATGGCTGCAAACTCACGACAATCCTCCTGCCTCAGCCTCCCAAGTGCTAGGACTTCCAGTGTAAACTACTGTGCTCAACTAGTCTCAAACTTTTGTGTCATATGAAAAGTCTCTTATGTTGACAACATTAAAAAAAAATTCTAAAAACCAGGCCTGGTGGTGCTGACCATAATCCCAGCCTCTGAGAAATAGAAATAGGAGGACCAAGTGGTCAGGGCCAGCCTGAGCTACAGGAGACCATGTCTGAAAAATAAAAACACAAGGAAACAAATTAGCCAGGAAGCTCATAAAGCTAAATGACTTTCTAGACTTGGCTATCGATCTAAAAACTAAAGCTAAGCCTTCTTAGCATGCTTCTTCATTGATTCTGCCTTATATCACGAAATGATCATCCAGGGTACTGTCCAAAGAGAACAAGATAGGCTACAAGCTGAATAAGCAAGCAGGGGAATGATCAAGAAAGCCTGTGCTATGCTGGGTGGTGGTGGTATGTACCTTTAATCCCAGTACTTGGTAGGAAGAGCCAGGCGCTGTGAGTTCAAGGTTAGCCCGGTCTACATAGTGACTTCCAGGACAAACAAGGCTACACAGAGAAACCCTGTCTCAAAAAACTAACAAAAAAAAAAAAAAAAAGAAATAACAAGGGTATAAGCTGGAAACATGGAGGTTAATAAAGGACGCGAAAGGTAAAACTGTAACTGGGTTTATATTCGCAAATATCTTTTTGTCTACACTAGGTCAGTCAGGCTGAGAGGCGGAAGAGATGGAAAATCAAGACACAGAGTCAGCTAGAACCTGGTGCTTCCTGCGGCAGTCTGGCAGAAAGGATGAGCTATCCCACTAAGGAGTCATTGAAAGGGGGCAAGGAGAGCGCTTCAAACAGATCCGCAGGGTACACAGAGAGGAACTGGGTGCTGACAGATATAACAAGTGAAGGTCAGTGTCCCAGGGCTTGGGGCACTGAGACAGAGGGACCACTTGACCCTGGAAGTTTTAGGACACTCCAGGCAACACAGCCAGTAATATGCTGGTTTAGCTATCTGCCAGGGAACGGTGATGGCAAGTTCAAACTGAAGAAAGGGTTTAAGGAAATAAACTTCAGGTGAGCCCAGCTGCTCATAAATGTTCACGTAGCAGATTCTACTTGGAAAGGAAGTGTAACCTGGAAATACAGACTGAGTTATGAGCACATGGCAAGTCCTCGAACCCTGGAGGAAAGATGACAGCTAGCAGAGTAACCCTCCTGGCAGGATGAAGATATTCTAAGGGGACTCTCACGCTCCTCCGTTCTCGTCACACTACTGACATGACAGACTCGAGGAAAGGTAACGTCCCTAGGGTTCTCATGCTGACGTAAAGGAAAGGCCGGGGCCCTGGGACCAGGGACAGGAGCCTGTCTCCTAGAAAGATTCCACATTTCTGACAGCTCTCAGGCCACCCTGCAGGAAAGACTGAAGCTGAGACAATGGTAAGCCAGGGACAGGCAGGACTACACACTGGCCAGGACTGCTGGTTAGCCAAAGCTCTGGCCTTTATGACTGCCCGAGTACGGTCCTGTCACTTTTACTGAAATATAATTCTGACGCCAGCCAGAACTGTTCTGCTCACCCCGGGACCTCAGGCACTGGGAAAAGTGACAAGAAAGCAGCAGTTGCTCGATAACTTAAGGAAGAATGCAATCACTTTCACAATTTAAAAACCTCTTCTTGGGGCCAGAGGGGTTTCTCGGTATTTGAGTGTGTGATCAGCAGACACACTGGACTCAAGCCCTGGCACCGGCCCATAAGACCTTATGAGATGACATTTACAGCTTTCCAGATACAAGGTAAACACGCAACACTACATCAATAAACGAGATGATTAGGGTATTTCATGCATATTTAAAGACCACTGGATGTTGCAAAATAGTTCCTTAAAATCTTCTCAACTATGTTTTCCCAGGTGTGGTGATGCACACCCTAGTATCAGCACTCAGAAGGCAAAGGCAGGCTCTCTGTGACTGGGAGGCCACCTGGTCTACACAGCAGGTTCCAGGCCAGCTAGAGCTATACAGTGAGACCCTGTCTTACCAACAAACAGACAAGGTGGGAAGCTGGCAGCGATGGTGCTGAGGGCAATGGTGGCAGCAAATCCTATCCAGGGCTATGTGAAGCAACAGTGAAGGTTCCGCACATTCTCAGGGAACCCTCACAACCATCCCACCAGGCAGGCGCCATTCCAATCCCCATTTTACATCCAGAGGCGCGGAGGCTGCTGCTGTGGCTGAATCCAGAGCAGACAGTTGGGAAACAGGTCCGCGTCTAACACCTTCGCAAGTCTCACCCAGATATTCTCACAAGAGATGCATAAGCTGACGAGCTAAGGCATGAGCCTCAAGTGCCTTGCTGTGGGTTATAGAATCGAGTGACAGAATTAAGTCATCTAAGTCAGTACTTACTGCTAGTGTAGAGCACTTTCGCTAGGGTCATCTCCAGGATGGCGCCACGGCTCCCTTCCCCGATCATGTGCAGCTATGACATTAAAGGGGGTGGGGAGGAAAGCAGTCAGTGTTCACATATGTTCATAGAAAGCATGGCTGCTTTGCGCAGAATGAATAGGTATTGGATACTACAACTAATACATGCTTAGTGCTATAGGTTATTCAAATGTGGAGCGGCATCCTGACACGTTTGAGATTTGGTAAGTACCACTATAAAATGTCTCTGCAGACCCACCCTCACGGTTCAAGATACATTTGCCTGAGACCAGATATAAGACTGGCCAGCAAGGCACGTCTCCTCTTGTGTTCTCTGTATATTATTACTGAGAAGATCCAAACCGCAGCTGGGATATGAGTGCAGGATGTCAGTATAATAAATATGTCAACCAACCTCATCGACGACAACCAGACCCAGAGAGCTGATCCGTCCGGTTTCAATCAAGGCGTTCACCAGGCTGTGCCCTTTCTCGATAGTGGCGATATACAGCGATTTCTTTTCCCTCCTTTTAGTCGGAGGAAATTTTCCTTTGCTTCCAGCATATTCTTCAACAAAGAAACCAAGTTCTACACCAAAACTTGATAAACTGGCAATCTAGAATCGTAGTTAAATAAACAAAAGCACAAATCAAAGATGGAGTTGAAAGAACTCAGAGGAACTCCCTTGATGTAAAGTCGTCCCCTTGGTGGGCCCAGTCTAGAAACACCTATCTAGGAACTGGTGCAAAATGAGACGGTGATCTTTACAAAATAAACACATAACAACTTTTTATTTAGTCTATGTGTATGGGCGTTTGGTCTACATGTAAATCTGTGCTCTGTGTGTACGCAGTGCCAGAGGCCAAAGAGGGTGATGAATTCCTTGGTAGTAGAGTTACAGATGATTCTGAGCCACCTTGTGGGTGCTCAGAATCAAACCCAGGACCCCTGGAAGAGTAGTCAGGGCTTTTAACCATCTTTCCAGCCTTAGTATTTACAACTTTAAAAGTACATAATGCAAAATAATTTCACTTGTCTCCTTTTATATTAAAAAACCCTCCAGACTGACTCATTTATTCTGGTAATGAGTTAGTTTCTGCTTGAAAAAGCAGCTAAATATTGATGGGGCATTTAAGATACAGTTCATACCACAAACTTAGCAAAAAAAACTATATACAATTAATAGTTGAAAGTAATTAAGTACTGTGTTACTCCTGTACATCCTAAAAATAATCAGTAATAGTTAATACATTTATGCTAGTTTTTAGATCTTAAAATGTCATATTCGAAAATAACAATTGTTTAAACACACACACCTTTTCTTGGACAATTGCCACATATGGAAGAATCATTAAAACATCCTTCTGTCGGCAGAGCAGTTCTTGTAGCATTAAAATCTCAGCCACAAGGGTTTTTCCACCACTTGTTGGCAAGGAATATATTAAATTTTTTCTTTTTTGCACAGAACTTAATGTGAGGCAAGTATGCTGCCAGTCTGTAGAATTCAAAGAAAAACAGCAGAGATTATTGTCCCCTTCAATATTCTCAAGAATTTTTCTGAGACGAAATCATTGTGGCGTACAATTCTCACAGAGGGCAAAAGGCCAGCCTGAATGAACCCAGCAGGTCTGAGTTCAGCCCTTGCCACCCTACAGATACAGGCGCCAAATTCCAGCAGAGCAGACAGCTGCCTGGGGACCAGGGGCCAACATGGGCAGAGAAGGGCAGTCTAAGAACCTGTGTTCTACAAGAGCGTGCAGGCTTCCCTCCCTCACTTACTCAAGAGCTTCTTAGGTAGAAATAGAGGGGAAAGAAAAGAAAATCCACAAGATCTTGCCCAAACCAGAAAAGCCTGCAATTAGTGTTTCTGGACTTGATCTTTGAGTGGTCCAAACGTCATTTTAAATAGGGCTACTTGAATCATAAAAGGCTTCAGTTACTGACTGGCGCACCCAGGGTCTCTGCACCCTCAACTGACCAGGAAATAACTGGTGAAAGCCAACGTGTGAGACATTGCATTACTACATTACGTTCTAGCCTACAGGCTGAGGATGCAGTTCAGTTGGGAGAGTGCTCACCACCAAGCACCGAGCATGTATGGAGGCCTGGGTTTGATCCCCAGCACCCCATGAAAGGGGTCTGGTGGCTCATGCCTGCGATCCTAGTACCTGAGCAGTGGAGACAGAAAGATCAGAAGTTCAAGTTTATCCTCAACTACACAGCTAGCCTGCGTTCCAGGAGGTGCTGGATCAAAACAATAATAATAATGGAAATAAGTAATTTGATAACGTGCATCAACAATCTTCACAATGTATACTAGTACTTTTTGTGAGTGTATGTTTGGCCTACTCTCTCTCTCTCACACACACACACATGCATGTGCAAGTGTGTGTGTACCACTTATATATACCCTGGTGCTGGGACCCCTGGAAGAGCAGCCAGTGGGCGTTCTTTACTATTGAACCATCTTTTTATCACTAGAGGCAAACAAAGTAATAGACACATAAAAAGAAGCTCAACTGTAATTTTCAGGATTGACAAAATAAACAGAAAGGACACATACACACACACACACACACACACACACACAAAAAAAAAATCCCACAGTCGTAAAACCCAGAGACTACAGAGAGAAGCCACCGCGGGCAGTCTGTGGGAAAGGCCATGTGGCAGTATGGACCAGAAAACTGCAGGTTGCCATCAGCAGCATTTTGTCCAAGATTCTCCATCGGCACAGTGAAGGAGGGTGCAAACTGTACACGCAGGAGAGCTACAGCATCGCTGTCTCACAGGTACTGTGAGGTAGGTGGGGAAGTTAAATGAGTTTTTGCACATATGTAAGTCACAGCTTACAAATGGAAATCTAGGGCCAGTGAGAAAGTCGTTGTTGCCAAGCCTGATGCCTAAGTTTGATCCCAAGGACCCACACAGCCAAAGGAGAGAACCAAATCCCATCAGTTGTCCTCTGACCTCCAGATGCATGCCAGGGCACACGTATCTACATACATACACATCCAAGCATATAGAACAAACAAATGGGAAAAAGTTAAAAACTATTTACACACTTAATATACAGTTTAAGAAAACTCATCCCAAATTTAATTTAAAGGGCTTCAATATACTATTTTAAGAATTAACGGCCTGGGCTGGGCGGTGGTGGCGCACGCCTTTAATCCCAGCACTCGGGAGGCAGAGGCAGGCGGATCTCTGTGAGTTCGAGCCTGGTCTACAAAGCGAGTTCCAGGACAGCCAGGGCTGTTACATAGAAACCTTGTCTCAAACGAACAAACAAACAAACAGCAGAGAAGAAGAGAGAAGCTGAGAGTGTTGGTGTACATTTAGTCCCTGTATTTGGGAGGCAAGGGCAGGCAGATTGCAGTGAATTCCAGGCCAGCCTCATCAAAACAAACTTCCAAGACAGCCAGGGCTACACAGTGAGGCCTCACCTCAAAATAAGACATTAAAACAGTCCATTTAAGATCCTGAGCAGTCAAACCACTAAATTCTGCTAGAGAATTCAGATGCAGCCAATACCAATGAAACAATAAAAGAATGAAGGGGAGAGGAAAAAAGCGAGAAGCTGAGTGGGAAGGATGAAAACTCAGCGGTGTGGCCACAGCAGAACGTGAGGCTGCTCTGGATCAGATCTGGGCTTGGGATTCCTTTGTCTCTACAACTTAAGTGAAGGCACAGAAGTGAAGGGACCTAAGACTACCTAGGCAAGAGGCACAGCAGGACGCCTGGCTTGAGGACGGTGAGGAAGGAAGGACGGAAGTCTGTGACAGCAGACTTAACACCACTGACATTCTGGCCATTCCAGATGAGAAACAGAACCAAGGAATCATCTGCTTCCGCTGGTTTGAATTAATGTTATAATATGATTTGAATTATAAATTCGGTTTTCATTTTATAAAAAGCATTACCATATAGTTTTTTGATTCCTTTCAACTGAGCATAAAGGTCTCTCACTTTGCTGGGTAGAGAATAAAAAGGACCAAGATCATCCGAAGGTGACTCCATTGCCTTCCTAGCAACACTGATCTCCTCAGATAGGAGGGTCTCTTTGAGGTGTTTACTCCTGGAAAACACCGGTGTTTGGGCTGTGGCATTCCCAGCCATGGCACTTTTCAGGTGGTCTGCAATACTCTTCCTCCTGCTCGTCTCTGAAGAAGCTCTTGTTTCAGCGAGGTCATCATTTGGCTGCGGCAGCTCTTGATGGCTAAAGGCCGGTTCCTCATTCAGCAATTTATGTGAGTTCCCATCTCTTTCCTTAGCAGATTGACCGCCCAAATCATTTGATGAGTTCTGTATACGTTCAAAATATAAAATCTGAGAAGAAGGCACATCAAACAAAAGATCACTGTCAGGTTCAGGCCCAGCAGGGCCATCTGCAGCACTCTGGTTCTTTATGTGTTGGTTAGTTTCAGGGTCAGTAGAGCTGCTCACGGCGAAGACAGGGAGTTTGTTTTCCATGCTTTCTGAACAAAGACCTTCGGTGGCTGAGTCTGTGACAAGCTCCCTGTGCTCAGGCAGTTGTGTATATTTCTGTTCCAGGTCCTCAACTTGAGCTAAAAAGGAATTTTCTGTAAAGCTATCATAGTCATTAAACATGTCCTCTTCACTGTCGTTCTCCTGAAAGGGAAACAAAAATACATAAAGAGTTCCATCCTTCATAAAGAATAAAAAGTGTTCCGGCAAATGATTATCAAATATATCACTATATGCAAATTATCCTCTGAATACATTATCACCAGATAAAAGAAACAAACGAGCCCAGAGACTTGAACTGACTCGCCTAAGAGTGCTGCTGGATTATTATGGGATAGCAGGATGCCAGGACAGGATCTCACATAACAGAGGTACAAAGTCTTGAACCTCCCACCTCTGCCTCCTGAGTGTATCACCATACCTGGATTTATGTGGTGCTGGGACTCAAACCCGGGGCTTTATGCACACTAGGTAAGCATCCTACCAACTCAGCTATGTCCCCAGCTCAGCCCAGTGGGTGATACTATACTTTTAAATTATTTAGGCCTGCCCCTTGCTCCACTGCCGAGCCCAAACTCCCAGTCTTTGGAATTTAATTTTTTTTTACTTTATTTTATAAAGCTTTGCCTCCATGTATGTCTGTGTAAGTGTTGGGTTCCCAGGAACTGGAGTTATAGACAGTTGTGAACTGTCATGTGGGTACTGGGAATTGAACCCGGGTACTCTGGAAGAGCAGCCAGTGCTCTTAAACACTGAGCCATCTCTCCAGTCCCAGGGATTTTAATTCCTAAACCCGTGCTAAAGCACTGAGAAATGAAAGAATGGTAGACATCTATAAGGTTGTGAATTCAATAGATACTTTTGGAAATCCCTACCCAGACACTAGAGGTTGGCCTGTTAGAAAATCATGGTTGTATCACTAGACACTACAAGCAAATTCTTTTCTGAACTTGGAATTGTGACAAGAGAATGCACTCTCATGTGGGGTGGCTTGTTGAACAGAAAAGATAAAAACTGGGAGGTAATAATTATTTATTAGAGTTAGAACTTTGGCTTCTCAACATCCTGGGGCCTGGTTACTGTTATAAATTCTAGATAATATGGCTGGTTTAATAAAGTAACCAGCATGTCAGAGGTCACCAATAAAAAGTTTTATTGGTAAAGTAGAAATGAGTCATTTTGAAGGCTGGCCTTCTGTCTGGGCAGTTAACTGCCCCGTGAATACTTTTTATGATAGGGATAGTGTATTTGTGTGTGTGTGTGTGTGTGTGTGTATGACAGGGATGGGGTGTGTGTGAGTGTGTGCACGTATTACACCCACTTAAAGGTTTAAGGCAGTGTCTCCCCAAGTGTAAACAAGGATGACGATGAGAAGCGCACAGGAAGGCTGCTCATCTAACCGGTCAACCGTGTGCACCTGTGAGGTTTCGAGCCCCCTTCCCTGGCAGCTGTGCCCGGTGCAGGGGACGCGGGTCGGTCCTGCAGCCCTCGGTGATGAAGGGACCGGGCTCTGCAGCCCTCGGTGATGACGGGACCGGGCTCTGCGGGGAATCAGCGGGGCTGTACCTGGGCGGGCTCCGGGCTCCCGGTTTTGCGCCGCCGCCTCCCGGCCGCCCCTTCGTCCTCCAGGTCCTCGGAGGGCTGGAGCTCGGCCGGGGCGGGGGCGACGCAGAGGCTCTCTAGGCTGCCGCGGTTCCTTTTGCGAACAGACACCCTCCGGCGGATGCGGGGACCGCCGTTCTCCATGGCTAGGGCGGAGAGCCGGGCCGCCCGGGGTGCAGACTCAAGCTGATGCTACCGCTCGGATGCTCTCCATCTCCCCGCGGCGCGGTCTGATATCACGTGACATCCGGCCCGCGGAGGGCGGGAAGAGAAAGGTGCCCTGTTGTCGCGCTGAAATCCCAGGCGCGCCCGCACCCGGAACCTTTGCGTAGAAGCCCCGGGGCCCACGGGGGAAGACTACCGGGAAAGGACCTGTAGGGCAGATTAGGGAAAGGAAAGGAAGAGGAAGGGCGAAGAATCATGACGGCTCTGGTGGCGGTGTGCAGTGGTGTAGGGAGGAAAAACTTGACCACAGCTGCAGTCTGCCTCGCGGATCGCGGAGTTCACACGGGTAAAGTCTGCAGCAGAGCCTTGCAGCCGCAGTCGGCTTCTGGTTGTCGATGGCGTCTTTGCTCTTAGCGACATGACTTTTCTTCACTACGAGCTTTAAGAGGGGTGGGAAGCTCGAGTCGCCAGAGACTGGTTTCCCAGAGCTGAGCAGTCCTTTGAGGTGTACTCAACTCGTTACTTTTAATTTTTGTTTCTGTTCTTCTCTGTCAGTAACCTGAATAGTTTTCTTTGTATTCCCTTTGGGATGGCAGTGCCTTTCTGTTGCTCCTGGACATACTTGCATTGCAAGCTGGTAACTGCAGAAAGGGGGAAGGTTTTATAGGAGAGGAAATATGTATGCCCTTTAGTTCAAAGCCTTGGGAATCATTTTAAGTCCTCTTGTGCCCCAAATCTAACAGGATGTTAACCAATCACTGAGTAAAAAGAATATGAAACCTTTATATTATACAGGTGTTTTGTTTGTTTGAGGCAGTATCTCACTATTATGTAGTTTTGGCTGTCCTGGAACTCAGTATATAGACCAGGCTGCCTTGAAACCACAGAGATTCACCTGCCTTTGCCTACCAAGTGCTGGGATTAAAGGTGTGCACCACCATGCCCGGCACTATATCGTGCCTTTTGATTCTGTAGCCCATTTAAAAACATAAGTCTTTGTTAGATATTAAGTGAATGAAAATAATTGGGTCATTGCGTTTCTGTTTACTTACAGTGCTGTGGAGAAGATGTTGTGCACAGTATAAACAGGTAGCCAGCAATGAGGACCTGGTAAGATTCCTTTTTATTTTTTTAAAGAAAACATTTATTGTTTTTATTACATTGGGGGTGGGGGCTGTGGAAGCCAGAGAGGGCATTAGATCCCCTGGAGCTAGAATTAGAGGTGGTTGTGAGCCACTGGATGTGGGTGCTGGGATCCTAAGCCCTGTCTTCAGTAAGAACAGCAAGTGTGTTTAACCACAGACACCCATCCAGCCCCAGATTTTTTCCCCCTTATATTACTAAGCCATTTCCAAACTTGGCCAAATTTTTTATATTTTAGCTGTTTGGAGTTCAGTTATAGGACAAAACAAAATAATGTTTACTTTGAGTTTGGAAAGTCTAACTTACTGACTATGGTCACTTGGGTTTTGAAGGGAATCCTAGATTTTGGGGGGCTTCGGTAATACATATTTTTCTTTGTAGATATTAAAGGATATGATTTGAGAATTTCTAAAGATAGCTTGGGTAGATAGAATAATTGTAGATAATAGAATTATGGAACAGCACTATTTTTATCTAATTTATCAGTTTTGACAGGCTACCTTGATAAAAGATACAATTAAATTTGTTTTGTTTTGTTTTCTTCGAGACAGGTTTTCTTTGTGTAGTCCTGGCTGTCCTGGAACTAACTTTGTAGACCAGGCTGGTCTTGAACTCATAGAGACCCACCTACCTCTGCCTCACACCAAATTAGTTTAGGACATTTCATCAGCTGCTTCTAAACTGTGGGTGTATTTTTTTGGGTTTAAAGTATGAACATGGATGTGGGCACCCAATCACACCATACAAGTACTTAGCTAGAATTGAGGAGAAATACAGCTTATATCTCAACTGATTATAGATTGGATTAAGAAAACTCAAGGCAGACTAGACGTGGTGCACAGTATTGTACTAGCACTTAGAATGCTGAAGTGGAAGGATCTTTTGAGTTCAAGGTCACCCTGGGTTACAGCAACAACAAAACCTTTTTGGCCTTTTGGCTAAGTTCAAATGTTAAAAAAGAAAAACAGGGGCTGGAGAGATGGCTCAGCGGTTAAGAGCATTGCCTGTTCTTCCTAAGGTCCTGAGTTCAATTCTCAGCAACCACCTGGTGGCTCACAACCATCTGTAATGAGGTCTGATGCCCTCTTCTGGCCAGCAGGCATACACACATGCAGACAGAATATACATACTAAATACATAATAAATAAATAAATAAATAAATAAATAAATAAATAAATAAATTTTTATTAAAAAAAAAACGAAAGAAAGAAAAACAGCAAAAATACAAAAAAATAAGTTAAGTAACTGTAAACACTAAGGAATGTGTCAAAGCAAATGTGTGTCTGCCTGAGTCATCTAAGTCATACATCATGCTTTAAAAATAATAAAGGAAATTGACTCTTGTATCTAGGTCATAAATCCTAATGTGACTAATGCAAAGTGTGTATCTTTTCCACAGAAAACACACACAGTCATACTCATTTGTCACAGTTAAGGAAGGTTATAGATTTCAGAGCCATTTCTGAATTAAGACCCTGTGCTGGGGCGTTGTCATGCAAACTGTAATTTCAGCATTTGGAAGGCTGATACGGAAGGGTGGGGAGTGTGAGGCTACCATATGCTGCACAGCAAGCTGTAGGACAGCTGAGGCTACAAAGTGAGACCCTATTTCAAGAAACCACAACAGCAAAGGACCATGGAACAGGAACAGAAGAGGCACTGTGACGAGGAAGGAAGAGTGTGGAAGGACAGGGACAAAAGAGGATAGCAGGACACACATGTTGTGTTAGTCCTATTGTAAAAGCAGGAAAAGATTCTTGGGAATGAAGAAGGGACCAGCAAGCGGGAGAGGCAGATTGAGTGAGAGATGTAGAAGGTAAATAAGAACAAAGTATAAATCATAAACACACACGCATATGTACAGAAATGTCATCACAAGCACACATGCATGTATATAGAAATGTGTATCATTTATCAGCGTGCTGATCTTGGAAGTCCTCTTCTGCAGAAATGATTCTTCACTGTGGTAATCCCTCTTTAGCCAGGTTGACCCAAAATAAAGTACCTGTGTAAAAAGATTCCAAGTGTAGCTGTAGCTTTATCTTTTCTGTCTGTCTTAACACATTTTCATCATGACACTGTTCTTTTATCCTAGCCAATCCCGATGGAAAACCCCTATAAGGAGCCCCTTAAGAGGTGTGTCTTGTGTGAGAAACGTGTGGATTATAAGAATGTACAGGTGAGTGTTGCTTAGCCTCTGTGATACTTGACTAGGATTCTGTTCTGTTCATTTGCTCATCAGGCATTCTATAGGACGGATTGAGCAGCCTCATGACATCAGATCTGGTTTTAATGTCCTATGTTATCTCTATTCAGCTCAGAGCCCCTTGCTCCCCTCAGTCATATGATTTGGCTAAGTCACTTTGCTCTGTTGTGCACAGTGGCTCAGTGCATTTTGGGCTTTGGGGAGAGCTGACCTGTGAAGCTGATCTTTGCAGTTCACTATCATATTATATTGCTTTAAATGTTAACTTTTTAAAAAATGCCTTGTTGCTACAAAGTATTTTAGTTCATGTTATTAACTTTGTCTGAAACATAGTAAATGTTTACATAACTTGAAGGTTATTTCTAACACCTTTTTAAATTTACATATTCGGGGTTGAATAACAAATACACTAACACTTTTCCCTTTCAAATGTAACCCCACAGCTTTTGTCCCAGTTTATCTCTCCATTTACCGGATGCATTTACGGACGGCACATAACAGGTACTCTCTTATCTTAGAGATGTAAGTGTAGATGAGAATCACACTGGCTGCTTCTGTTATCTTAGGAGACTGGCAGTTTTCAGTCCCGCTGAGTCAGTGTTAGGCCAGTCCATAGGGACTGGAGTGGGATCCTTAGGGGAGGATTTACCTTCAGTGCAAATGGCAGTTGCCTCCTTTACTCCTAGTTAACTTCAGGATGACAACATACAGAAATTTGGGCTTAAGCGAGAACTGTATCTTTGTCTAGACAGGTGGCCCATCAGTTAAGAATGCATACACTTCTTGCAGAAGACTGGAGTTAAATTCCCAGCACCCACATCAGGCTTCTTGTAACATCTGGGACTCCAGCTCCAGGGAATGCAGCATGTCTTGCTTCTACAGGCACCTGAACTCATGTGTACATATCCCACCACCATTAAAGATAGTAAAACTAGCTGGGCAGTGGTGGAGCACGCCTTTAATCCCAGCACTAGTTAGGCAGAGGCAGGCGGATCTCTGTGAGTTCGAGGCCAGCCTGGTCTACAAGAGCTAGTTCCAGGACAGACTCCAAACTATAGAGAAACCCTGTCTTGAAAAAGCAAAAAGAAAAAAAAAAGATAGTAAAACTAAATCTCTTTTAAATTTACCATTCCTAGACTAAAACATTGTCAGCAGCTGATGGTGCTATCCAGACTGTCATTTGCTTTTTGTTTATTTGTTTACATAGGGCCACATGGTTGTCATTGAGTTACAGTTAACAGAATCGAGTGTATGACAGACCAAATGTTCACAAAAGATTTTTTAACTTTCTTAACAGAAAAATACTTAGCAGTATTCATGTTAAAAAACTGTTGTGAACGTAGTGCGATCGTTTTCTGGTGTGTAAGAAAGTGCCTGTTGTGTTTCACAGGTCTTTGTGGGAAGAAACAGAAAGAAGTAACGAAAGCCATTAAGAGAGCTCAGAAAATGGGTAAGTCCACCTGCACAAATGAACGGAACTAGTTAAGACTTTACTCATGGGGGCAGGAGAGATGGCTCAGCAGTTAAGAGCATTGACTCTTCTTCCAGAGGTCCTGAGTTCAATTCCTAGCAACCACATGGTGGCTCACAACCATCTATAATGAACTCTGGTGCCCTCTTCTGGGGTGCAGGCAGAATACTGTATATGTAATAAATAATCTTTAAAAAAAAAAAAGACTTTACTCATGGACTTTGTGAAGAACTTGAATATCTCTTTACAGGATTTATGCCAGTTACATACAAGGATCCGGCATATCTCAAAGACCCTAAAGTGTGTAACATCAAGTACCGGGAATAAACTGTGTGAAGTTACTGCCAATAAACCTGGAAGTGAACATGTTGGCACTGATGGAGCTGCTTTGAGTAAAAGTGTCTTTCAAGGGATTAGGAGGGATGTACCCTTCCACACCATGAGTGTGCTCTGGACACCACTGCTTGAGATGGTAATGTTACCTTGTATGCTTGGTAAAAGTGGTACCTCATGGTGTCACACCTTCTTTATATGGTACCTTTGATTATGGAAGGGGCGGGCTTCTATTAGAATTCCACCTGAGCCCAGATTCCGTACTTACACATGGGATGGTTTTAGGGGATTGGTTAGAGAAAGGTAGTGTTTATGAATCCCACGTAACTGGCTGTGGAATTCAACTTGCTTTGGAGCCATTCTGTGGTTTTGTGTGCACATGTGCACAGGAGTGTATGGAGGCTACAAGTTGTTATCAGGTTTTTTTTCTCAATGTAACGCCACCTTTTTTTTTTTTTTTTGTAAAACAATTATTCACTGATTTGTGTGTGCCTGCCATGAGGGCACATGTGGAGGCCAGAGGTCATTGTCCAGGCATTATTTCTGTCCTTCCAGCCATGAGTTCTGGTGACAGAACCCAGGTCTCCGGGCTTAGCACAAGTATTTCAACCCACCAAGCCATTGTGCTGGCCCGTTTACCTCATGGTCTGAGACCAGGCCTGAGACCAGGTCTCACTGGCGTTCACTTAGACTGACCAGCTGACTCCCAAACCCCAGGGAGCCTCTTCCCTCCACATTCTCAGTGCTGGGACTCCACATGTACACCACTGTACCAGGCTTAACCAAAACCGTGCTCTTGGCTCTTCACTCATCTCCTTTGACCACACACATGCCCATGCCCTTTATTTTAATGGAGTTGTTGGGGTTCTAAACACAAGTCCTCATGCTTATTGGCACCTTTGCTGACCTATCTCCTAGAGTTGTTTGCTAACTAGTCAATGTTAATTGCGCCTGACTGTTGGAGTTCTCATTGCAGAGGTGCACACAGGGAATGATAGGCTAGTCCCTGCGAGACAACCTGTTCCTGGACCGCCATTCTGTACACAGACAGATGGCACGCAGTCTGCTTTCACTCGTCTGTGATGAGAGGAGGATCTGTTGACAACTATGGCTCTTGTCCTGTGCTGTACAGTACAGTTTACTACATCACCAGAAAATCACCCCAGCAAGCTGTACAAACCATCCCTTGGGTAATGGGTGGCTTCACAACAACCCCATAGAATTAATGCATATCAACACCCAAGTCAAAGTGCTACTGCTACATAGATGTCTTAAGTAGTTTCTCCAGGCAGCAACAAGTGGAGAACAAGGGTAAAGTGTGTTCAGTGTTAACGTGCACCGAGTAGAACGTAAGGTAACGTGTGTGCACTTCACTGAACAGGTGAAAAGACGAACACATCTGCAAGGACAGTTTTGTTTGCCTCTTCTGAGATGGAGGCAGAGTTACCAGTTCCTGGCTCAGGCAGTCATCTGGCCTGAGGTGGGAACTGCATGAAGATGCAGAGATTTTTCTGTGTTTCTCTGTGTACCCTGGCTGTCCTGAAACTCACTCTGTAGACGAGGCTGACCTTGAACTCAAAGAGGTCAGCCTGCCTCTGGGCTGCAGTTAAAGGCAGGGCAGTGTAAGCTATCACCACCACCCAGCAGCGCAGATTTACTTTATGTTTATTTCTGTGTGTGTGTGTGTGTGTGAGAGAGAGAGAGAGAGACAGAGAGAGAGAACACATTCACATTCTTGGAACCTGGAAGGGCATTGGATCTCCTGGAGCTGGAGTTACAGGTGGTTGTGAACTGCCTAATGTAGGTGCTGAGAACCAAATTCCAGTCCAGTGTTTCAAGTACTCTTAATTGCCGGGCTCTCTCTTCAGTAAGAATCTTAATGAAGTAGATAAAAAACAAGACTTAAAAACTAGAATTTTATCAAATTTATTTGTGGGGGTTTCATGATTATGCCTCAGTGAAGGTATGTGTGGAAGACGGCTCATTCCTTTCCTGAGGGAGTCCCAGGAATCCAACTCAGGTTGACAGTCTTCACTGCAGTGTCTGTGCCAGCTGAGCCAGCTCCAAGGCCTGATTATGCAAACTTCTGTGCTCTTTTCTGTGCTGTGAAACAAGGCTAGTTTCTCTTTTCCAATTTGAAGAATGTTGTAGTTTAAAAGAATGCATCTTTAAGTCTCCCTTGATAATTCGGGGAAGCTGAAAGGTCGTGGCTCTGAAATAAAAGCATTTTAGCTGGGTGTGGTGGCATGCGTTCTTAATCCCAACACCTGGGAGGCAGAGGCAGGCAGATGTTTGTTAGTTTGAGGACAGCCAGAACTACTTAGAGACCTTGTCTCAACAAACAAACAAACCAAAAACCCATTTGGACTACAGCTCAGTGGTAGAGAAGCTGCCTACGGTTCACATGGCCCTGCATCGATTCCTGCACCACAAAGGTTTCTAAAAAGTACTTTAGATGTGGATGGACAGAGGCCAGGCCACTAGAAAGGGGTCAGGAGATGGGAGAAAAAGAATCTGCAGGAGCGAGGAAGGCAACGGAACATGGGATATAAAGGGAAGGGAGGACTCCTGCAGGGAAGGCACAGTGAGAAGAGGCTGGGAAGCGAGGGAGGTTGCAGCTGAGTGGAACATATACACATTCACAGAGTATTTACAATGTATGAAATATAAATAGGAATTTCTAAAATACTTTATAAAACATTATCATTATTACAAACGGTTGAGTAGTAAAAATACCGTATTCCCCTACAGTGCAGTAAAACATGAACTTCTCATGTGTTACTCCAGTAGCAGACAGTAAAATAGTGTCTGAACCTCAGTCAGGTAAAAATATCATCTAGCAAGAATCAAAACGTGGGAGAGCGAGGGTATTCAGTGTCCTCTTCCGGGCTTCCCATCTCTGTGTCTATATCTGGGCTGCTTGAGGACGTTTTGTTTTGGTGACTGCTTTGGGAAGCTATCACAGGTCTGCTTTCTGTCTCCTGCAGCCGTGGTTTTTTCTCGGGCCACTGGTCTTGTGTGTCTACATCTTTACGCTTAGTTAGCTGGGCTTCAGGCAGTGGACTAGCGTCAGGGCTGTGAATATACTCCACCATTAAGGTCAGCTTAGCCACATCAAGATGGTGCTTCATGCTACATCCACTTTGGGAAATATGTCTATTTTTCAAAGAAATAACACAAGAATGAAGAACCTCAGACTCTGGAAAAAAGGTTCGTAGAGCTTAACAAAGAAGAATGTTCTCCTGGGGGTTGTTTTGGACATTCTTCTCTTCTAAAGAAAATAAGAAAGAGCTTAACGTTAGTTTTACAAACTTTTATGATTAGCTGTAAAGTAAAAACTATTCCAAAAGACAGATTATTCAGAATAAGAATGGCATAAGACTAGATTCCTGTTCCTGTGCCACTCTATTCTAAGAGAAAAACAGTCTTGTACTTTTTTATCCGATACAACACACCCACTACAGTAGCGTGTTCACCGTTTGGGACGATTACAAGCACAGTGTCATCACTACTTGTAATCCCAGTCCATCGGGTCACTGGTCAGGACCACGGCTCATGCAATGCGAAGCTAGCGTCTGCAGTGTTCATCTGCTTACCTGCTGCTTTAATCCGGGCTTGCTGCTCTTTTCTAACTTCTTTCAATCGGTTTACATCCATCATTAGTCTCTCTACTTCCCGTTCACTTTGTTCAACTTTGTGGCATATACTCTGCACAATAAAACAGTGCACAGATGAAAACATTCCAGGTTATACTAATGAGGCTTTACAATATAACATTCTCAGACTGTAGAATACCCTTAACTTTTTGTGTAAGCCACCTCCATAACAAGCATTTGATGATAACAGCATGCACCATGGATGTGTTAGCTTTCCATTCGTTTGTGGACCAGCTATTTCCTTGATAAAATTCATTTTGAAATAAAAAATATATATATATTGGGCTGAGGATAGAGCTCATTACCCAGAAAGTGTGTAGCCCGGGGTTCAAGTCCCAGCATGTGACAGCTGAGACACACAACTGATTTAGATTTACAACGTGGAAGGATTAGCAGTTTAAGGTTATCCTTATCTATAGGGAGTTCAAGGCCAACCTGGGCAACACAAGAACCACAATACCATAATACCAAAAATCAAACAAAAAAAACAACGATAAAATAAAACAAAGATAAAATAAAATAAAAAGTGGCTATGTTTTAAGGAAATTACGGAAGATTATAATTTCTGTAAGAGTTATTTCCAAAGTTTCTGTGTTATTTATTCATTAAATAAATTAGTATATAGGGGGTCAGAGAGATGACTCAGCAATTAAGAATGCCTGAGTTAGGTTTCCAACACCCACATGGCAGCTTATAACTGTTTGTAACTCTAGATACAGGGGAACAAATGCTCTCTGTGGGTCTCCAAGGGCACTGGACACACACACTGAACACAAAGGCATGAAGGAAAAAACGAATCACATCAAAATAAATAAATCTTTAAAAATTAGTATAGCCAGGCAGTGGTGGCACGTGCCTTTAATCCCAGCACTCGGGAGGCAGAGACAGGAATCTCTGAGTTCGAGGCAGCCTGGTATACAGAGCTAGTCCCAGGACAGCCAGGGCTGTTACACAGAGAAACCTTGTCTCAAAAAACCAATGTATATATGTCAGTAGTATACAAAGTGTGTTAATTTTTTTTCCTTTACTATATTCTACTAACAAGTATGGCTACCATAAAAATAGACTTTAGAGATCCAATTGAGAAAAGCAACTGACAGATGTTCCAATTTTGAACTTGTAATTTTGCGATTTATTAGAGAAAGCCTTGTGTGTTCTAGGCTGGCCTCAGACTTAGTATGCAGCCAAGGATGACCCTGAAGATCTTCCTGACTTTACCTCCCCAGTTCTGCAATTACAGATGTACACCATCGTAGTGCTGAGGATCAAACTCAGAGCTCTGTGAATTCTAGGCAAGTGTTCTGCCAGCTGAGCTACATCCTGAGCCCCAAAGTGCTTGCTTTAAGCAGTACTCCCTAAGGATAGTTCCTAGCAGTGACTGAACATGGTGAGGACATTAGTACATGCCTTTGGAACAGTATGCAATACTTCTGGGTCACTTTGTTCAATTAAGGATTTAACTTTTTTCTTCCTTTAAGAAGGGCAGGCACAGTGATGCCTTCCTGTAATCCTCATGCTAGGGTCGAGCAGGATCCCGGGTCAGGGCTCTGCTCAGGGAAGCTCCCACAGAATGGTACAACCTGAGGCTCCTTCTGACTCTGGGGTCAGATTCTGCTGCAGTCCTCAATCCCCTCTGATTTTTACATTGGTCCAATGACTCTCTTGCACTTGGGGTCCATTCTATGACTCTACAGTGACCTGCACTGCGCCATAAGACTATAATGCTGTAGTGATGGTTGTGCTTCTAAATCTGCTTCCTCTTCATCTTCAAGAAGACTTATGGGGGCTGAGCCTCATGGCACAGGACTTCAATCCCAGCATTGGGGGGCAGAGACAGGAGAAGTCTATAAATTCAAGGACAGCTTGGCCTACTACATAGCAAGTCCCAGGACAGCCAGGGCTCCATAGTGAGATCATTTTTGAAAAAAAAAAAAAAGAAGAAGAAGAAGAAAAGAAATAGCTACAGCCATGTATAATGCAGTGGTGGCGCACACCTTTAATCCCAGCACTTGGGAGGCAGAGGCAGGCAGATCTCTGAGTTTGAGGCCAGCCTGGTCTACAAGAGCTAGTTCCAGGACAGGAACCAAAAGCTACGGAGAAACCCTGTCTCGGGAAAAAAAAAAAAAAAAAAAAAAAAAAAAAAAAAAGAGAGAGAGAGAGAGAGAGAGAGCGCAAACTTAAGCTTGCATCCCATCCCCAGAGTCTCTATTATGGAAGTCAAAGGAGTACAACATATACTCAAAAAAGGTTAACTTTTCTAGGAAGCAATTCGTGCAATCTACTGATGTGAATGAACTCTGAAGTGGACCCGAAGTAGTTACCTTTAATTCTTCTTGTACTGCAGCGTACATTTCATTTATCTTATGCACCTCCTTCAGCGATCCATCTTCGTTAAAAAACTGAGAACTGTGAAAGCAAAGATAGTTTCCTTGGCTAAGTGTATAGAACTGTAGAGGGAAAGGGGAATCCTCCAGTTCCACAGGGTTCCCTTAGTGTCTACTGTCTGGATGAGCCTCACCTGTGTGCTCTCACGGCTCTGCTAAAGCCAGGGGATGTACAGGAAGCGGATTCTGTTTTATAACCCAGTTGATCGGACATTCCCAGGTTGGCAACCACCAAAGGCACCCTATGAAAAAGCCTGAGGGGTAAAGTTTAAAACAGGGTAAGACAACACCTGCCATCAGAGCAGGCCACTGTCCTAAAAGTGTCAGTAAAAACAGCCCCATCATTATTTAGCAAGATAGAATTTTCCTAGATGAGCTAAGTTGAAGCAACTAGATTTTTGTTTTTTAATATTAGGTATATGAGTGTTTTGTCCACATGTATATCCACATGCCACTAGTGTCCTCAGAGGCCAGAAAAGTGTCCATCTTCCTGAAACTGGAGCTCAGGTGGTTGGGTATGAGCTGCCATGTGGGTGCTGGGAATTGAACTGGAGTCCTCTGGAGAGCAGGCAGTGTTCTTAACTGCTGAGCCCTCTCCAGCTCCTGTCACTCAGAAGCAGAGATTGAGGCTGATGAGGTCTCCAGAGGGAGCTCCAGGACAATCAGGGCTATACTTTCTCAAAAAACAAAAAGTCAAGACGTACACAGCATAAAAAGCTGCATGGACAGTTTAATGGCTGTCTCACCTGGTCGTGTGCATGCAAGCAAGGAGGAAGCTGCCCCGAAGGCCATGGCAGGCAACACAGGTGACACCTGAGCTTTTTTTTTTTTTTTTTGGTTTTTCGAGACAGAGTTTCTCTGTGGTTTTTTGGAGCCTGTCCTGGAACTAGCTCTGTAGACCAGGCTGGTCTCGAACTCACAGAGATCCGCCTGCCTCTGCCTCTGCCTCCCAAGTGCTGGGGTTAAAGGTGTGCGCCACCACCGCCCGGCTGCCTGAGCTTTTTGTTGCTGTCATTTATTATGATTGTATGTATGTTTATCATGTTTGTGTGTTCAGAGGACAGTGTCAGAAGTTGGTTCTTTTCCTCTAATGAAGGTTCTGGGATAGAACCCAGGTCTTCAGGCTTGTGGGATAAACATTTTTACCAGCTGGGTCATTTCACTGGTCTTTTTTTCTTTTCTTTTTTTTTTTGATTCATGGTTTTAAGTAGTTCAACATCCATTAAAACTCTATGTAGCTGAGCATAACCTTGAACTCGTAATCCTGCTCTCACTGGAGCTCAGGGATTATGGAGATTTATCATCATGCCTGCCTGAGACCTTAAAGGATGGAGAAAGAAAGGAAAAGAAATTTTGTTGGAAATGAAGCTCAGTGGTAGAGCCACTCTTGTCTGGTGTAAATCTCACACTGTGTCTCTGTGTCTCCTCAGCTCACCAAAAAGGCAGAGCGGGTTAACCTCCCTAGTCCAGGGTTTGAAATGTAAGGTAGGGTCTTATGATGTAAACTGACCCAAACTCTCAATCCTCCTGCTTCACTTATTGGGACTATAAGTTTGCACCACACAGACAGTAAAATGTGTCTGGAAATGCTAAGGTTGTGGGTTCAAAGCTGGACAGGCTCATCTACCCATTCCTTTTCTTTCTTTTGGTTTCTTTTTGGTGTTTCAAGACAGGGTTTCTCTGTGGCTTTGGAGCCTGTCCTGGAACTAACTCTTGTAGACCAGGCTGGTCTTGAACTCACAGAGATCCGCCTGCCTCTGCCTCCCGAGTGCTGGGATTAAAGGTGTGCACCACCACCGCCCAGCTTAACTTAATTCTTATATTCCCAGAGAATGTAGTTTATAATACCCAAGCAGACTGCTTGGACTCACTGTGGCAGAACAGCAAGAAGCGCTGTCTCTGAAGAAGCTGTACAGTCCACACTTACATACGTACATACGACAACACTTCCAGTTCTAGCACACAGGAGTCCAAGCCATGGCTGCACTGGGCTTCCCCTTCCTTGCCTAGCCTTTGTTTTCTCATCTATTACTTCCTTTGCTGCTACTATGACGCCTTATGCAACATTGTATGAAAACACTTATAGCCACAAAACACAACAAAAAAAATTTAAAAATTTAGCTTAAAATAGTCAGGACCAACCAATGCTTACCCCTTTTGAGGTTTATATAAGGCGTGTTCCAGGCAGTGAGTGGAGCAGCTTTCTGTTGTTATACTTGGTGTTAACAGCAGAAAAACAAGCTCTGGGCTTGAAAGATGCGTCTGTAAGTTTCTGTGCAACAGCTGCTCTCTTAACGTCATTACCTGATCCGAGTGACGACGGAATTTGTACCAGCCCACCACAGTCTGGGGAAGATACAGGAAAATTAATATATGTTGGTTACAATAGCTACATGTCTTCCTACAGCTTAGCAATGAAACCATGGTCTTAAGCAGTAGCTGCAGTTGTACCCAGTGGCTCTGGCACACACGGGACTGGGACCGCAGGACTGTGGTTAGCCTGGGCACACAACAAAACTAAACAAAAACCCTTCCACAGCTTTTTTGTTTTTTGGAGGCAGGGTTTCTCTGTAGCCCTAACTGTCCTAGAACTCGCTCTGTAAACCAGGCCTGCCTAAACTGGGATTAAAGGTATCACCACGAAGCCTGGCAAAACCTACAGGACTTAAAATGGCTTTTCCAACTGTTGGTAAAGTTTGGGTTATACATAAAATAAGTCAGGGATATACTTAGTTATAAACTTTACTTTTGTAAACAAACGGACATAGTACTTTATACTTAGCAAGAAGAAAAAAAAAGACCCTATACATTTAATGCAGGAAAGACAAAACAAACAAGAACCTCCTTGCCAGGGACTGGTGGCACACCTTTGATCCCAGTACAGCCAGGGCTACACAGAGAAACCCTGTCTTGAAAACCAAAAGAACAACAATAACAACAACAACAACAAAAAAAACCAAACACCAAGACCACCCCCCAACAAAACTTAATTTTTTTTTTTTTTTTTTTTTTTTTTTTAGACTGGGTCTTGTGTGCTCCATATGTAGCCAGGGATGACCCTGAACTCTTATCCTCCTGCTTCTTTCTCTGGGATGTGTATGTGCGATGTGCTCGACATTTTAAATGTGGAACCCAGGTCTTTACATAAGTACCTTACTAATGGAGCTGCACCCCCAGTTCCTACTCTAAGTAAACAACAAAGTAAAACATTTGCTATCGTGTAGACACTATGTTAGAATGATGGCTCAGTGGTTACGAGCACTGGCTCTTCTTCCAGAGGACTGGGGTTCAATTCCCAGCACCCACATGGTATCATTTAACTGCCTATAATTCTACCTCCAGGGGATCTCACACAGACACAATGCAGGCAAAACACCAATGTACATAAAATAAAAATGAATCATTTTTAGAAAAAGAATGTATGAGAAGGAAACACCAATGTCACTGTTTCACATAACAGGAATCAATGCCTGTAATCACATTCATGTCCTATGCACACCCTTGGTTTGTAAATGTTAGGCTGTTTAAAATTATTTTAAGGGGACTGGAGAGATGACTGGGTGGTTAAGAACACTGACTGCCCTTCCAGAGGACCGGGTTCAATTCCCAGCACCCACATGGCAGCTCATAAATATATATAAATCCAGTCCCTGGGCGATCTGACACCTTTACAATATTACACATAAAATAAGTTTTAAAAATAAATAAATAGGGGCTGGAGAGATGGCTCTGAGGTTAAGAGTACTGCGTGTTCTTTCAAATGGACCTGGGTTCAATTCCCAGCACCCACATGACAGTCACAACTGTCTGCAACTCCAGTTCCATGAGACCTGACACCCTCACACAAACAAGCAGGCAAGTGAAAAAACTATGTTCAGAAAATAAAAATAAATAAAATTATATTAAGATCATTTGAAAGGATCTTGTAATCTGTAGCATGCAAAAATTAATGATTAACAGTAATAACTATTTTAAACTAGAAAATAATTCTCATTACCTTATAGTAATTATAATAAAAAATAGCCAGTATATATTATACATTAAGATTAAGAATTAGAAATGGCTCCTGTAACTATAATTCAGCATTTGGAAGGCTGAGGAGGAAAACAAGTTCAAAGACATAGTGGGCTACATAGTGAGGCTATGTCTCAAAAATAAAACAGTCTTTTTAAAGGAAAATGTTCCGATAGGTACATTCCCTAAATAATCAACTTAAGAAATGTATAAACTGTGTTGTGTGTGCGCACAAGTGGCCATGGGAGTGTGGTGGTCAGAGGACAGCTTGTGAGGGTCAGTTCTCTCCCTCTTTCTATCATGAGTCAAAGGGATTGACCTCAGCCAGCCAGGTTAGTAACAGGTGCCTTTGATTGCTAGCAACAAATGTAATTTTTTAAAGTCCAACCATTTCCTCTCAAAGCATTTTTACACTTATATATTTGTGTGTGAGTGTGTGCAAGTATGTTTGTACATAAGTGTTGTACCCATGGGAGACCAGAGGACAGCACATTGTTCTCCCCCACCCCCCTCCACCATCTATGGTTTCCACAGACTGATCTCAGATTGTCAGGCTAGGGAACTGAACCCAGGACTGAGGCAGGCAATCAGCAGAGCTGCATCCACAGCCTGTGTCAGGATCTCACTGCTTCCCTAGGTGGGTCTCAAACTTGGAATCCTCCCATCTTGGATTTCCACATACTTAGCATAACATAACATGTATACACCTAGTATCTAAAAGAAATTTCTATTATTAAATCTACTTTCATTCTAAAATCAGAGCCGTGTGCCAGCATCCCCAGTAACCAAAACTTTTCATGAAATCTACTTTTATACTCACAAACATAAAATTTTTAAGACAAAAATGCATATCTTGGAAAAAGTTGGGGGGCATTCTGACTGTTCAGTAACTTTTATCTGAATATCAAGTACATGGAAGATTTAAATGTAATTGCTGTATAGATAACTGTCTCTGCATTTATATAAAATAATAACTGCAAAGCCAGGCTCTGACATACACCTGAAGTCCCAGTCCCTTACTACAGAGGGACTTACTACAGTTTGAGACCAGAAGACAAAACAAAGAGTGCAGCTATGTGAAAATAAAAAAAAACCAAAAAACATTTAAAACCAAAAAAAAAAAAAACAAAAAAAAAAAAAAAAAAAAAAAAAAAAAAAAAAAAACAGGATAGCCAAAACAATTCTGTACAATAAAGGAACTTCTGAAAGTATAATATAATCAGACTGGAAAAAGCTGTGGTTAAACAATGTACCACAGAAGAAGTCAGTGTAAATCCAAGCAGTCAAGGAAATAGTTAGATGGATACTTCCTTCCATTTTATTTTATATGCATGCGTGTTCTGCCAGCTCGTATGTCTGTGTACCATGTGCATGCATGTGTTCACACAGGGCATCAGAAGGGATCATATCTCCTGGGACGAGATTTACACCTAGTTAAGATTCCATGTGGGTGCTGGGAACTGAATGCAAGTCTTCTGGAAGAGCAGCCAGTGCCCCAAGGTGGATACTTTCAATGACTGGTTTTGCTTTCAGAGAAACACTGCCGGACTTTCTGGGAAGAGTAAGTCTCCCACATGCTCTAATGAACACCACTAAGGCTTCTGTAAAAGTACTATGTTTTTAGGAGTGTAAAATAGTGCAAACAGTGCCAATAAAGAAAAGGTAATACCTTTTTGACATTTGAAAGAATTTTCTTCAGTGCGTGTTCGTTTACTTCACCTAAAGAATTATAAAAGCTATAAAAATCAAAATTAAAGAGATTTGAATAAGCTAGACATCTGGGCAGCTTTACTAGCACTTTAAGTCTTAGTTACCCAACCCACGCTATATAACCAAATGCACATTTACTTCCCTAAAAGAAATAGTAGAGAAAATTACAAATTAAATTGTAGAAACACTAGATCCACAAGCAAAAACAACATAAAATAGAAAAACTTCTAGGTTTGAGTTTGTCTATCATATTTTTAAACTAAACAGAACAGTAAACTATTCATTAAATACAAGTATCAAAAGCTAATCCACAGTTCACTTATTAATAACTGATAACCCTAATAGAATATATAGAGTAACAAAGAAAAGTACGAAAAGGACAACTTGTTCATCGCTAACTCCAAAAGCTGTGTGTTTAGGGTATCTGGAAGACTGAGGAGGGAGGGTAAATTTGGCTTAGTCCAGTGGTTTTTGTAATTGGACTTCCAAGATATAGAAAAAATAATTCTAAACAATCTAAACATTTACTTTGCTTTTCTTCCTGCAAGGGAGACTCCAAGTCATACTTCCTTCCCTATGGTAAAAGCCAGAGGTTGACACTGTTTTCCTTTGTCACTCTCCCCTTGATTTCTTGACAAGGTCTCTCTCACTGAACCTGGAGCTCATAGATTTGGCTAGTTGGTGGCCAGTGACCTCTAGGGATCTTCCTGTCACCACTCCCTGCCCTACCTCCTGACACTAGGGTTATATGCATGGAGCTTTTACATGGTTGCTGGGGATCCAAAGCCAGGTCTTCATTCTTGTGAGCTATCTCCTCAATCCTAGTCCTTTTTATCATTAAGATGAACAATATTTCTTTTTTATAATGCTGAAATACTAAACAAAATCCTATAGGATTTTATAGGTTTCTTTTAAAAAAAAAAACAACTGGAAACCCTCAAGTATACATTGGAAATATTTATTTACATAAAACTGACCAACTATATTCTACTTGGCAACATTTTTAAGCTTAGGTTGGTGGTATAGGTCTATAAATCCAACCACTCAGCAGGTTAAGGCAGGAGGACTCCAGTTCCGCCTAAGCAACAAGAGCAACTCTAAGGCCAGAAACTTAGTAAGACAATGTCTCAAAGAAAGAAAGAAACACACAACTGTGATTACAGGTTAACCTAGCAGGAGTAAAGCCCTTGGTCCAATCTCCAGTACCACAAAGAAACAACAACAAAAACTAACCTCCAGGGCTGGAGAGATGGCTCAGAGGTTAAAAGAACTGACTGCTGTTCTGAAGGTCCTGAGTTCAATTCCCAGCAACCACATGATGGCTCACACCCATCTATAATTAGATCTGGTGCCAAGAACACTATATACATAATAAATAAATTTAAAAAAAAAAACTAACCTCCATTAAAAATGTTTTAATAGGCTGAGGGGTAGCTGGGTTCACTGAAGGACATCTGCTATGACATGTGTGACTTGGATAAAGACTGAAATCATGGCAGGTCCAGAAACCGATGCCCAGTTCCTGGGTTCAATCCCCAGAGAGGTGGACAGGGAGGAAGAAAAGGAGAGAGGAGATAAAAAAGGAAGAAAAAGATTTTTAATGCTGTCTAACATGGTCCACTTCTAAGCATCCAACCTGGTGCCTAAGGCAGTAAGGCCTCAGGGTAAATAAGCATAGGCTAACAGTATAGACACATGTGAACACCGATTTTATGTCAAGTTGTATTATACGGAAACATAGTAAGTCAGGTGTGGTGGCACGTGCCTATAATCCAACACTTGAAAGGCAGAGACAGAGAATCTGAAGTTTTAGGCTTGCGTGGGCTACATATTGAGACTCTGTGTTGCCTCCCAACTCTCCAAAAGGATATACAGTAAAGAATTCATACCTAAGTGCCACATTTTTTAAGATAGGTTTCATTGAACTATTTTCAAGGACCTTCTAGACTTCTTAGAGCACAGAATCAGAGCGGCGATACAGTTAGTGCCAAGCTAGTACAGTTCATCTGTACACAGCCAGTCAAGACATGCCAAGTCTTCCTCAGTGTCCCTACAACCCTTAGAAATAAACATTTTAAGAAGGGCTGTATAAAAGCAATTCACAGGGTTATATTTTGATAACGTTTGTAAATTATAAAGCTGGCTATTAATGCCTATCTAACTTGGACTTCAAAAGATGTCATCAGAAGACTTAGTTTTAAATATATTCATCAATATGACTTATAAGGGGGAAGCATCAACATGACAGGTTGTTAGAAAGCCTGGAGCCTATGGCTGGGGCTTAGCAGAAACTCGCTCAGCATGCCTGAGGCCAAGTCCCACCCCAACACCACACACACAAGCCATTAAAAGGAAATGCCATGTCTTCTAGTTTTGTCCTACTGTTAAGTCAGTGGTTCCCAACTTTCCTAATGCCACCCTTTAATACAGTTCTTCATGTTGTGGTGACCCCCAACCACAAAATTATTTTGTTGCTATTTCATAACTGAATTTTACTACTATTATGAATCATAATATAAATACCTGTGTTTTCCAATGGTCATTCAACTCCCAAAGGCGTTGTAACCCACAGGTTGAGAACCACTACATGAAGTAGCTCTGTGTTTTCCACTAACTGTGAACTTTGGCCTATCGTGGTTTTAACTGAAGATGAACAGTACAGTAACTTCATGAATGAGATATATCCAGATAGCTCTACTCATGTCCTCTTTACCTTCAACTAAAAGCAGACAAGATCCAGACATTAGTGGATCAGGTGGCAACAAAAGGAGAAACAATTAACAAATTGGAATCAAAAGATGGAAAAGTGGGGCAGTGGTGGTGCACGCCTTTAATCCCAGCAGTTGAGAGGCAGCAGGTGAGTCTCTGAGAGTTTGAGGTTAGCCTGGTCTGCAAAGTAAGTTCCAGGAAAGCTGGGGCTACAGAGAAACCCTGTCTTGAAAAACAAACAACAACAACAAAAAAGGAAAACAATCTATTTTTGACATCTAAGAACATGTCAGTTGTGAATTTATAAAATGAAATGAGAGGATCGGGTGTGAAAAGAAAATACAATCCTCAAACTAAACTGGCTTTTCAGCGGCAGGGAAAGCAGCTGAAGGTAATACAAGCACTGAATTATAGACAGGCGCACTAGTGCACCTTAAACAGACGACAAACCTCCTTCCATTTGTGACTAAGACACTGTTAGTTGTTCAAATTATTTAACGTGCAAAGAATAATTTCCATAATGGGTGACTCGCTTGTTTTTACTGATGCTGTTACTCACCTAAAAAGCTGGTAGCATGGAATGTATTTCTGAATGTCTAGAAAGAAAGGATTTAGGTTATAAGCGCAATAATAGTTTGCCCATGCTGCAAGAGGAATCACGTGACTCCCCAGAGATACAGGGCTAAAAATCCTATCTGGAACTACATGTTATATTCACTAGCCAAGACAAACATGTAGGACCCAAGTGTTGATCCTTCTAAGTGTGGGGTTACAAGTATGTACCACTATACCCACTCATTTTTTTTTGCAGTGCTTTAAAAAAATATTTAGGGTATATATTTTAACAGTTTAAACACACACACACACACAAGGGTTGAAGATGGCTCAGTGGTTAAGAGCACTGCCTGCTCCTCCAATGATCCTGAGTTCAATTCCCAACAACCACATGGTGGCTCACAACCATCTGTAATGAGATCTGGTGCCCTCTTCTGGCCTGCAGGCATACATGCAGACAGAATACTGAATACTGTATACATAATTAAATAAATCTTAAAAATAAAGTGCGTGCGCGCGCGCACACACAGCACACAGGCAAGATGGCTCATCAGGGAAAGGCACTTGCTGAAAAGCTTGACCAACTCAGTTCAATCCCTGGAACCCACATGATGGAAGGGGAGAAACGACCCCCCTCCCCCACAGTTACACATGACACATGTATCCCCCATAACAATTAAAATGTTACAAAAAAGAGCGGTGCCGTTTATAACTACCCAAACCATACAGAACTAAGTGACTCACCAATTGTGTAAACAACTTTAACACTATCCATTTGTGAATCGGTAATGCTATTCTTGGCTTCACCTTTCACTTCACCGAGAAGAAAACCTTCCTATAAGAATAAAAATAAGAAGCCATATATGAAACACACTGGAGAGGATTACTGTTCTGTTTCCGAATCATCTTTTCTCAGCATTTTACAGTGGCTACACGTGTGGGTAACTGGGAAAGGCTGTGCGGAGAAGAAAGCCCTGGCTTTAAACAGATGGGTCATAATTTGGGAAGGCAGAGCTAGAAGCACTTAGCAGTCCAAAGCAGAACTGAGAGCCTGTCTAAGGGCCCAGCAGAGCGGTTCGTTGTGGAGGACTAACGACAGCCATCACTGTACAACCCTTATTACTAGCACTGTGCGGGAAGCAGCTCTAGACACCAGAGCCCTTACACTTTGGAAAGAAGGCACAGCAATTCACACGCCCTTCTCGACACTGCTCAGTACTCTGGCCTGTTTTAGTGCAGTCCCCAAAGCCCCTTTAGACAGTTTTAGTTTCTTTCAATATGTTACTAAGAATTTATTGCAAGGTGCTACTTCCCGACCTCAAAGTTTTAAAGTGAGTGTTTTTTATTTGTTTTGTATTTGAGTCAGGGTTTCTCTGTGTAGTCCTGGCTGTCCTGGAACTTGCTCTGTACACCAGGCTGGCCTTGGAACACAGAGATCCATCCACCTGCTTCTGCTTCCCGAGTGCTGGGAATAAAGGCACGCGCCACCACCGCCCAGTTTACAGTGAGATCTTTAGATCTAAATTTTAAAAACAGGCTTCTAATTTTTTTTTTTTCCACTTTGACTCGGTGGCTTCGAAAGTAAGCAAAAGTTTAACGATGCATTTACACATGTGACCCCGGACAAATCTGCATTTGTAACGGAAAGCGGCACAGAAAGTAGCTGGGCCGTCCACTCTCAGGAAGGGTTGGGGCAGCCACCCTGAGCCCTAGAACCCACACCGACCAACCCCCTGCGGCTGCCAGCCGTGGCCGTCCTCCGGGTCCTAGCCGCGCACCGCCGGCGGGGCATGACGCGGGGATCCCTCGCGAAGCATCGGGTAGTGAGCACGGAAAGCGGCAGGATCTCCCGCGCCGAGCCGCAGGCCGCCGGGAACTGCACCCCTAAACTTGACCAGGTCGGAAGGGCCCGGATGAGAGCCGGGGAGGGCGCCCCGGTCCGCGAGCCCGCACGGCCAGCAGGAGCTGCGGGCAGGGGCGGCGGGGACGACAGCCGCGCGCCCGGCTCACCGTGTCCGAGTCGGTGTTGAGATGCTGGAAGGTGAGCGCGCCAAACACGAAACCAGACAGCACCCCCAGAGTGCTCTCGCCCTCCATTCCGCCGCTCAGGCGCTGCCGCCACTACCGCGGCACGTGACGGGAGGCCCGAGGGCGGGGCCTGAGGGGCGGGGCCTGGGACGGGGGTGGCGCCTGCGCACGGGAGCGCGTGTTTTGGAGAGAGTGCGAGTGTCCTCTAGCCCAGGGAGGACAACTTTTGGATCAGCTTGGCTGAGATACCGGCATGCAGGCAAAATCCTATTTATGGGTAGTTTAAGGCAATTAATGTTTGTAAGAATAAGAATTGCTTGGCAATTTTTAATATCACAGATATGTCCCATCTTGGTTTTCTAACTATTATATTACACTATTGAAACTTAGAAGACCAATAATCAGTTGGGGGGGGGGCGTTCTTAGGTTATTCCAGCTGTGTTGCATTCTTCTGTCTATGTGTGTGTGTTTTTAACATTATGAGAATTTAATGCATGTGGCGCGCGAACTGTACCGAGGGGGCAACACAGGCGCAGGTGTTACAATTGGAGACACCGCTGGGATATCAGGAATTACAATTAATAAAGTTTCTGCATGGTTATTTCAGGGCTGAGAAGCCGGGAAATAACAAGTGGCCTTCTGCCAACACTGCAGGACCCCCCCCCCCGCGCCCCTTCTTGTTCTCTCTCTCTCTCTCTCTCTCTCTCTCTCTCTTTTTTTTTTTTTTTTGGAGACAGGGTTTCTCCCTGTAGCTTTGGAGCCTGTCCCGGCACTAGCTCTTGAAGACCAGGCTGGCCTCAAACTCATGGAGATGCGCCTGCCTCTGACTCCCGAGTGCTGAGATTAAAGGCTTGTACTACCACTGCCCAGCTGACCCCTCTCTAGGGGAAGTATTAGCTAATGGAGAAAATTAAATTACACAAAGTTGCTGACTGCAGCCCGTTCCCCCACCTGTAGTCATATAGAAAATGTTGACCACCCAACTTCCCCTGTCAGCTGGGTAATATTTCAAACAGCCCCTGAGGTTAGCAAAGGGTCAGCAGAGGTCTGGAGGAAGTAACCAGGGGACTGTTGCCATCCCCCTTAGATAACAATAGCCTATCAGGAACTGACAGCTGAGCTTTACCTAATTTGGCCAATCATGATATAGGATACATAATTTTGCATTTTGAAACTGTAACCTTGTGAGTGTTTTGTGGTTTTTGTCTTTAGAAACCCCTTACAATAGTAGACGGGGTCCTTCTCCCTCCATCTGCTGTGTCAGACTGGGAGGCAGAGGACCCGAGCTAGCCTGTACTTAATAAACGAAACCTTGTTTTTGCATTCGGAAGTGTGTCTCTCTTGGGGGTCCTAGGACTTGGGTACAACAGCAGTACATCTCATATGTATCGTGTATATTATTGTACATTATATATATATGTGTGTGTGTGTCGCTGTCACATTTAATTTTCAGAAAAGTAGTATGTGTATCTAAAGAACTACATGGACAGGGGGTCAAGGTTGATTGTGATGGCAGAGGAATAAAAATAAGGGTCCTAGCTGACGAAAGTCCCACTCAGGATGTAGTTTTCCTAACCCTTAACCTCTGCACTTCCTTTCCCTCCTTGTACAAGTGTTTTCATTTACCTCAGTTCCCTGACATGGAATTGGAGGGGTGGGGATAGTTTTCTAGTCTTCTCAGAAGAGTAACTCTTAAATAAACCTTTGCTCCAGCTCTCATTCCCTGAGCACTGGCTCCTGTGTGGAGCAGGTGAGCTTGGATCTGGTAACATTTCTGCTGGACTTTGCATTGGGTACTTTCCTATGTCTCTGATAAAACGCCATGGCCAAGACATCTTCCAGATGGATGGGTTCTTCTGTTACAAAAGGACAACATCAGGAAGTGCAATGAGATGTTGAAAAACCAAAGTTCCTCCATCTTGTCCTTCGCCTCCATCTTGTGTCTTGTGTAAGCAAGTTTCCGTAAAAATGTTCCAGTCCTCAGAAATGGCTAGGGGCAAAAGTAACAGGGTAGCCTTCTTGAACGTACAGTACAGATAACTGTAGAATGTCCCTACCTGAAGGTCAGCTAATAAAAAACCTTGACAAGCAACAGGTGAGGGTGAGGTTTGAAATTAAAAGTTCCTGAAAAATCCCTAGACATGAGCCAATCAGGATTGAACCCATCGTTTTGCCTTCAAATAATGCTGTCTAGGAGGGTGGGGTACCACTTCTCGCTGCCACGCTGATGAGGTCCAGACTGGCTGGTAATTGCTTTTGCATTTCGGTGAGTCAGTCTCCCTGGTGGTCTTTTGGGGTCCCCACGGACTGGGCATAACAACATGACCAGTTGAACTAATCTGAAGGTCTTTCCGGCACTGGAAACACTGATGTAACTCACCATTTTGGGTAGAGCAGCCTGAATTAATTCCTGTGCAGGGCCTGGGGGTGAGGGTGATGCTCTTCAGATTCACCTGGGTCCTTGATGTTTGACAGAAAAGAATGTCGGCATGGGATAGAATGTAGCAAATTTAGTGAGTTTATTATGGCAAGAAAAACCTGAACCATCAAATATGAGCAGCACCTAAGCACCTTGGCGGCTGCCATATTTGACTTTGGGGCTTTGAAACAACTTAGTCCAAAGCCAGGTTTAGAGATTAGGGGAAGCATAGTCTGGTAAACTTATATTTCTTGCCTGCAGAATTTTGCCCTTGGAGAGACTTTCCTAACTCATCGTGAAAGCTTGCTGCTGGAGTGCAGGAGCGTTGGGGCAGCTTTGGCTAAAAGCGTTGACTCTTCACTAGGACAACTAGAGGCAGAGTGAAAGCTTGGCATTTCCGCTTTTATTTCGTGTCTGTCTCCTTTACTTGGAAGGCACAGAGGTAAATCTCATTGCCATTAACCTTTTTTCTTGAGTCACCTTGGATTTGAGGGACAGCAAAACTTTATGGGTCCGGGGGCTGGAGAGATGGCTCAGAGGTTAAGGGCATTGCCTGCTCTTCCAAAGGTCCTGAGTTCAATTCCCAGCAACCACATGGTGGCTCACAACCAACTGTAATGAGGTCTGGTGCCCTCTTCTGGCCTGCAGACAGAATATTGTATACATAATAAATAAATAAATATTANGGGGGCTGGAGAGATGGCTCAGAGGTTAAGGGCATTGCCTGCTCTTCCAAAGGTCCTGAGTTCAATTCCCAGCAACCACATGGTGGCTCACAACCACCTGTAATGAGGTCTGGTGCCCTCTTCTGGCCTGCAGACAGAATATTGTATACATAATAAATAAATAAATATTAAAAAAAAAAAAACTTTATGGGTCCGAAGAACACAACTTCATCACAGATAAAAACAGTTATGTCTATAAAGGCAGGAGTTCCTCTGGCCACAGACCTAATTGTTTCTCAACAACCATCTTTTCTTCCTTAAATGAAAAGACTTCTCGAGACCTCTTTGCGGGACTGGAGGTGAAACCAGGTCAGGAAGAGCAGGTCTGCTCAGTTATGAATACACCTTGCCTCTGGGCTAGGTCTTCCTCTATTTAAACCTAAATCTACCCTGAAGATGAACTCGGAGTGATCAAACTCAAATGTTTCCTTGCACACTGAATCATCTCTTCTTTCTGCTCTTCACCTTGTGTATGTGGTACTTACATGGTGTGTTGGGGTGGATGGGCAAATCTAGCCTTCCAGGGTTGCTAGAGACCGTATATCTGCCCTAAAAACTCTGGTTCCACTATGAGAGATATAATGTTGAGCAAATGGATCCTTGTTTGTGTATGAGTCACAAGGAGGTAGATAAAAGGGTTCTGCAGTCAAAGAGTATCTTGGTAAATGTTGGGTCCAGGGGGCATCACACAAAGATGGGGACAGACCAGAGGCAAACTTTATTCCAGAAACCAGAATCTAGGAAAAAGACAAATAAAATAAAATAAAAAAGCTCCATGGGGCACAAAAAGCAAATCAGCTAGCTGAGCCCACAGCCAGAGATGGATTTTAAGGCTGTGGCAGAGGCCTGTTTCTGAATCCACCTTTTTATACTAGGGGCACCAAGCATTAGGTCTGAACAAAGGAATTTTTACAACTTCAAGGTAAAACTCAGATACAGATTTTCTTACTTAACAATCTCCATTAACAGAGTTTCTCAGTTAAACTAGTGTTTATACTTAATCAATTGTCTTTCTTGGTCCTTCCAGGTGGTGTTTACTGACACCCTGTGGTCTCCCCTTTGATGCTGCCAGTTTCACATAGCAGGGAAAATGTGTAACCCAGAGGCCATAGATCTCTTTCCTAAAAGTTGACTCAGCTCATATCCGTAGGCTAGCTCTCAGTTTGCAGAGAGATGCTCTGGCCTTGTAAACAAAGCTGTGGGTTGTAAAGTGAAACAACACACTATGATTAGTTAATCCTCAAGCTGCTGAGAAAGCTGCTGACAGTCTCTTCTCATTCTCCTAGACTTATAACTTTATATTTCCTTATTTCTACATTCTTATCTTTGGAATCTACATTTTTATATTCTTATCCTCGGACCCTTCAGTGATCAGGGGCTTAAGGAATGCCACAAAGTCACACCAAAAAAACAGACCTCATGCAAGAGATTTATTGGGGATGGGGGAACACAAAATGGCTGTCTCTACGCTGAGATGGAAAGAGTCTCTGGGTGACTGTCCAGGCAGCGAGACGTCTCTGTCAATTCTGGAGTTTGGAAGTTGCTTACAATGCACTTCCTGTTTACTTAGGTAATATTATATCCTTCTGGAGTCTTTGATGGAGTGGAAGAATAGATAGTTATAATTATAGTTTTCCTTAGTTATGACAAAAGATAAAGTAAATATAAATGCTGTAACTGTAATTCTTGCTTGATATCTGTCTTGTTATATGTAATTTTACTATGTTAAAGTTAAAACCTTCCTTTTTATTTAAACAGAAAGAGGAAATGGTGTGGGAAGTCCTTCTGTGTAAGTGTTGCTTTTATTGGTTAATAAAGAAGCTGCTTTCAACCAATGGCTTAACAGAGTATAGCCAGGCTGGGAGAGATATATAGAGAGAAAGGAGGCAGAGTCAATGAGAAGCCATGGAGCCACCAGAGGAGAAAGTAGGACTCTCAGCTCCTCCAGCACCATGTCTGCCCACATGCTGAC